CAGCGGCGGCGCGCTTGCTCTTTGCTCTTGTTGCGCTCCTGAGCCGCAGGCCAGCGAGCCAGCGCGGCACCTTCGTCGTGGGGCGCTGCGCACCGGGCAAGGGCATTGCATGTGGCCCTGTTGCCATTCTGCTGTGCGAGGGCGGAGGGGGACGGGACGTTTGCTGCCGCGCGGCAGGCTGGCCGCTGCGCAGATTGCACTGCTCCTTCAGCAGGGAACTGTCATTGCTGCCCTTGCTCTGCCATCGCTGCCCTTCCTCTTTGCCGCTCCTCTGCTGTTGTTGCCCTTTGCACTGACGCCGCCGTGTGCCGCCAGGTGGGGCCCGCTTCTCGGACCCGGCAAGCTCTTCGATCCGACGCGCTTCTTTATCTTCTGCGCCAACGTGCTCGGCTCGCCGTACGGCAGCGCCAGTCCCTGCACGCGCCACGGCGGCGAGCTCGTGCGCGACGACGACGACGCAGAGGCAGGCGCCAGTGGCGCGCTGCGGCCGCAGGAGGGCGACCCCAAGGACGGCACGCGCTGGTGGGGACCCGAGTTTCCCGCGACGAGTACGCGCGACGATGTGCGGTGAGTAGTCATGCGTCACGTAAGGGGGGAAAGAGCAGGGCGATGGGAGAAACGGCGCCGAGGCCGGCTGCACGGCGCAGTGCCGACGAGCCGCGCCGGCGTCTCTGGCACGTCGCGCTGCCAGTTGAGGGCGTCGGGGCGTTGGCCTCGGCGCCGCATGATAGTCCATGCGTGCCGCTGCGCTGCCGCAGTGCCCTACTCACACTCCCACGCAGCATCCAGAAGCTCGTCCTCGACCACCTCGGCGTCACGCAGATCGCCGCCGTCATCGGCGGCTCGATGGGCGGCATGGCCGTGCTCGAGTGGCCGCTCTGCTTTCCCGTGCGCTTCCCGCGCGCCGACGACGAGGCGGCTGGCGCAGCTGGCCGCTCGGACTCGCCGACACAGGCGCCGTACATCCGCGCCATTGTGCCCATCGCCACGGCCGCGCGGCACAGCGCCTGGTGCATCTCCTGGGCCGAGGCGCAGCGGCAGAGCATCTACAGCGACCCGGCCTACGACCACGGCTACTACGCGCCGATGGCACCGCCGCGCGCCGGGCTGGCGGCGGCGCGCATGGCCGCGCTGCTGACGTATCGCAGCCGCGACAGCTTCGAGTCGCGCTTCGGGCGGCGCATCGGCGCCGCCCGGCGCGGCGGCGGCAGTCGTGCCGAAGGCAGCGGCGTTGCAGATGCCACGCATGCCGGCAACACCGTCGACGAGGCGGCGCGCGAGCACAACGAAGGCAACGCCAGTCCGCACACGGGCGCGCGCCGCTCCATCTCGGGCGCCTCGGTCGCCACGCAGGGCTCGCTCGCCGCCGCCGTCGGCCAGATGGCGCTGGCGCCGACGGCCGACATTCCGGCCTCGGCACTGCCGGCCGGCGTGCCCGATGCGCCCACCGCAGGCGACTTCTCCACCGCAGCACAGCCGAGCGCGGCGCCAAAGGTCTTCTCGGCGCAGAGCTACCTGCGCTACCAGGGCGACAAGTTCGTCAAGCGCTTCGACGCCAACTGCTACGTGCATCTCACGCGCAAGATGGACATGCACGACGTGGCGCGCGGGCGCAAGCACTGGGGCGGTGGCGGCGCGGATGGCGCGGCAGCAGCGGCGGAGGAGGAGGAGGACGAGGAGGAGGCGCTGGCGCGCGTGCTCGGCGTGCTCAGCCACGGCAGCCGGCGGCAGGGCGCCGTGCCGCCGGCGGTGCTGGTGGTGAGCATCGAGTCGGACGGCCTCTTTGCGCCGCCCGAGCAGCGCCTCCTGCACGCCCTCATCGCCGGCTCGCGCTTCGTCAACGTGCGCTCGCCCGACGGCCACGACGGCTTTCTGCTCGAGTTTGAGCAGATCAACGACGCCGTCGGCCGCTTCCTGCAGCAGGAACTGCGCGAGGACCAGCGCGGCCGCGATCTGTGGCACGGCAAGGGCGCCGGCAGCGACGAGTGGGGCAGCTGGGGCAAGGAGGAGGTCAAGGAGAGCGTCTTTGGCGAGGTCGAGGATGTGACGCGGTGGTAATGGCACCATGCTCGACGCTCAGCCCCGCACGCGTGGCTGTCATGCCCGTGCCATTGTGCTCATGCGCCATTCGCACCACGCATGCACGGCGCCTCCTCGTCGTGCGGCACGTTGCAGAGCGCCTGGCGCATGTACACGAGCTGGTAGGCCGTGGCGTTGAGCACGTCTGCGAGCGCCACGCGCGTCACGCGCGTGTCGTTTGCCTTGTACCACTGGCGTGCGCAAAAGGGCGTCAGAACGGAGCGGAAAGCGGCAGCGCGCCGCCGCGTCGCGCACCTCGGAGCGGTACTTGAGGTAGCAGATGTAGTGCTGCAGCGGGCCGCGCCGTCAGCGTCCGCAACCCCCCGCGCGCAGGCACGCCACTCACGCCCGTGTTGAGGTTCTTGCCCTCGTGCACGACGACGGCGAGCAGTTCGTACGAGTATGCCCTGTCGACGCGGGACATCTCATCAGCCGTGGTGCTACTCCACACCAACGCCGCGCAACGCACTGGGGATCCGGATCGAGCAGCGCCTCGCTCGACGTCGACGAAAGCACGGCGCCCGTGCAGAAGGGCCGCAGATCGAGCGTGCTGGGGAAGCGCACGCGTGTCTCGAGCTTCGAGCCGATGGCATTGTGCTCGAAGCGCTGCGCACGCAGGCGGAATTAGCCTCGGTCCTGCTGAACGAAGCACAAACACACACCTTGAGCTGGATGCACAGCACCGGCGGCAGTCTGCGCAGCGAGAGCTGCTTCTGGCCCTGCGTGACAGGTCAGACATTACGCTGCGCCACCCTCGCTCATGGCTCACCTGCCCTGCGAAACCGCACGCGCTGCACGTGTAGTCCTCACGGCCGAGCTTCTCGACGGCGCAGTAGCGCTCGAGACAGCGATACAAGCTCTGCTCCTCGCCCGCCTGCGTCGCGGGCGTGCCGGCGGTGCCAGACGGCGCGGGACTGGCGTGGCCGGCGCCCTTCTTCTTCTTCTTGCCCTCTGCGCCCTCGCCGCCGTCGGGCAGCGCCAGCGACGTGGCCGACGCGGTGCGCTGGCGCTGCGTGCGAATGTCGAGCGAAATGTCGAGCATGGGGTCGAGCGTCGAGGAGCGCGCATGGCACTTGCGGCACGTCACGTCGCTCTGCATGACGCCGGAGAAGGCGCGGTGCACCACGCACGCACACGTCAGGTCGCTGTTCGGCGCCGGCGCGGCCGCGAGCAGCAGCGGATCCGGCGAGTCCTCGCGCGCACCGTCGCCGCCCGGCGTCGAGGCGTACGGAAAGCTCGGCACGAGCGGGCGCGCCTCCTTGCCGCCGCCCGTCTGCGTGAGGCACGAGTGCAGCGAGGCGAGCGCAGAGAGGAAGAGCTCGTGCGCATCGTGCTCGCCCGGCGTGCCCAGCTCGTCGGGATTGCTCGCGCCGCCGCCGGGATGCGTGCCGCTGCCGCCGTTGCTGCGGGTCAGGTAGAGGACGAACAGGAAGGACGTCGGCGAGACTGGCGGTGCAGGAATCGCGCTGCCGTAGAACTGCACTGCCGTCAGCACGCATCCCCTGCGCCTTCGCCTACACGCACCTCGCCAAAGACGCGGTCGAGCTCGCAGGCAAGACAGGCCTCGGGGTAGAGGCAAAAGGCAGGGTTGTGCCGGTCGGCGAGGAAGAAGTTGCGCAGCAGCGGGTTATGCATGAACGTCTGCAGGATGACGTTGAGGAAGCATGTGGCGCCCAGGTTGAGGAAGCCGCGCGGCGCTGAGCGGGAAGTGAGTTCGGGGCAGGGCAGAGCCGCGGCCAGACGCTACGCACGGCGGCAGGGCAGGGGCTCGAGCGTCTGCTCATGCTCCGGCGCCACTGCAGCACGGCACTAGACTGTCAGCCGCCAGCGGGCCGAGCATGTCGGCGCACAACGCACCACTCTTGTGCGGCACCCTGCGCCGCCGCGGCCCGTGGGCGGTGCGCCGAGCGCGCGCGCCCTCGAAGCGGCGCAGCTGGCGCACGTCGGCGTCGAGCACGGCGTCGTTGCATGCGCCGCAGTGCAGGCTGCCGCCGAGGATGTCGAGCGCTGGCGGCCAGGCGTGAGCGCCGCGCGCGCGCGCGGCAGGGGCCAGCAGGCGCAACGCACCAAACGTGTGTCCGCTGCGGGCGAGGTGCGTCTGCATGCACGACGAGGACGACGAGGCGTGCGCCGAGCCGGCGGCCAGGTGGCACGCCGGAAAGGCGCAGTCGAGACAGAGGTACGGGCGCGCGAGGGTGCGCAGGCATGCGCCGCACTCGGGCTGCGGCAGCTGCGGGCGGGGGGTGTGAGCGGCAGGCGAGGCGCACCGACGGCGCAGCGGTGCGGCAGCCGTGGCAGCGCAGCGCGCGCACGCTGCGCACCGACGGCGCAGCAGTGCGGCAGCCGTAGCAGCGCAGCGCGTATACGCCTGCTGCGCGCACCACCGCACAACCTGACACGCACCTGCACGCCCTCGTCGTCGCTCTCGTCGCTGTCGCTGTCGCGGCGCAGCGCGGCGTCGCGGCGCACGTCGCCGCGGCGCACGCGGCGGCCCCAGCGCAGCGCGTCGCGGATGCGTGGCAGCAGGGGCGTGAGTGCGGAGCGATGCGGACACCCGCGCGCCAGCTCGGGCGGCGGCGGCGGCGGCGGCGGCGGCGTGGGCGAGGAGGGCGCGCGCGGCGGCGAGGGCGTGTGCAGCGCGGCTGCGCGTGGAGGCGAGGGCACGCGCGGCGGCGGCGCGGGCGGCGGCGACGGCATGGCGCGGGTGCTGGGCGTGAGCAGGCGAGGTGGCTGAGATGCCGCAAGATGGTGCACGGGAGAGAGGGCGAGAGTGGAGCACGCGCATTGCCAGGGGGCAGCAGCGGGCACGCGTGCCGCGCGCGCTCCCGCACGAGAGACGCGCCTGTTCCCACGCTGCCTCATCAGATGCGGCTTGGCTGATGCGCACCCGCTCTTCCCGCCGTGGCCGCGCGGCTCTTGCTTCTGCTCCTCCACACCCCTCGCGCCGCGCCATGAGTGCCGCACCTGCGCCGCCATCCACGGCACCGCTGCGCCCGCCGCTGCTGGCGTCGCTGCTCGGCGGCGCGCTCGCCGGCCTCAGCGTCGACCTGCTCTTCTACCCGCTCGACACGCTCAAGACGCGCCTCCAGGCGCGCCAGGGCTTCTGGGCCGCCGGCGGCTTCAAGAATGCCTACCGTGGCGTCGGCAGTGTCGCCGTGGGCAGTGCGCCGGGCGGTGAGTGGGGACGGGCGGGGCGCCGTGGAGGGCGTAAAGGGAGTGGGCCAGGCGGTGCCGTCATCGGGCGCAGCGGGGGCATCGCAGAAGGGGCAGCGGCCAGGCAGTGGGCTCAGCGCACGCGCAGATGGCGGCGCCACGCAGCGCTGAGGCTGCCTCGCCGCTGGCCGCACCACGCAGGTCCGAGGCTGCCTCGTCGCTGGCCGCACCAGCGCGGCCCCGTCTCTCGTGTGCATGGCCGGCCGCGCGGGCTGCCGTTGGGCGCCATGCGCCGGGCTGTGCGCATCCCTACTCTGCGCTGACCGCCCGTTCCTGCTGCAGCGGCCATCTTCTTCCTCAGCTACGAGTCGCTGCAGCCGCTGCTGCGCGACGCCGGCCTCGCACACGGCGCCGCGCTGCACATGGCCGCCGCCAGTGTGGCCGAGGTGGTGAGTGGCGCGCGTAGTCACTTGGCAGCACGGGGACAACAGGTGCAGGAGCGGTGGAGGCAGGCGCCGAGGACGGGGCTGGGGCGGCATGGCGCGTGGTTTGGCTGCGGTGCGAAGAAGCGACGGCGTAAGCCGGTAGCAGCCGTCGAGACGTAGTGTAGCACGTAGTATAGCGAAGCTCGATGCGCGGGCCGGCTCTGTGCAGGTTGCGCGCATGACAGACGACGTCTTTCTCTCCTGGTCGCAGTCTTTCCTCCTGCCCTGCGCTTCTCGCTCTCTTCCGTCCAATGCTGACGCGCCTCCCACCAGGCCGCCTGCCTCATCCGCGTGCCGACCGAGGTGGTCAAGTCGCGCCAGCAGACGGCTGCGTACGGCACGCACGTCGCCAGCAGCAGCAAGGCGCTGAGCGCCGTGCTGCAGGAGCAGGGCGTGCGCGGCCTGTACCGCGGCTTTGCGGGCACCGTGGGACGCGAGGTGAGTGCAAGGCGGAGACGCGCCTGGCGGGAATGAGCGCGAGCTGGCGTGACGGGCTCGTGCAGGCTACAAGTGCTCTGCAAGAGCTGCCCCTCCCACTGCCCGATGGAATGCCAGGCTCGCGCATGGAAGAGAGAGAGAGAGAGACAAGAGCTGCAGTTGTGAGGCCATCCCAGGCGCGCTTTCGTCTGACGCTTGGCCCCGCCAGATTCCCTTCACCTGCATCCAGTTCCCGCTGTACGAGTACTTCAAGCTGCAGATTGCACGCTCGCCAAGGTTTGCGGCGCTGCGCACGTCGGACGCCGCCGGCGCAGACAGCAGCAACACGCGGCAGCTGCCGACGTGGCAGGCCGGCCTGGCGGGCTCGGCGGCCGGCGGCATTGCGGCTGCGCTGACGACGCCGCTCGACGTCGTCAAGACGCGCATCATGCTGGAGCGCGTGAGTGATGTGCTGTGGCTGTGGCTGTGCTCCTCCCTCCGACACTCACGCCTCACAGCGCGCACCGGGCACACTCGACGCCTCGGTGCCCGCGGGCGCCAACGTGCGCATCCTGCCGACGCTGCTGCACGTGCTGCGCACCGAGGGCTTCGGCGCGCTGTGGCGCGGCGTCGTGCCGCGCACGCTGTGGATCAGCGGCGGCGGCTTCGTCTTTCTCGGCACGGCGCACGCCGTCATTGGCACGCTGGCCGAGGACGAGCGGCGGCGAGGGAGGGTGCAATAGAGGGTGCTTGCTTGCATGGCAGTGTCATTGTGCGATGCGAGCGGGGGGCGTATGGCTACATGGTTGCGTGGTCTACGGTGAGTGCTCCTGGCTGAGCCAGAGCTGCGCATGCACGCCGCTCGCGCGGATGCTCTGCGCGCCGCTGCTGGCCGACGACGTCGAGGCAATGGACTCGCGGTGGGCTGCAGCATTCGGCGCCAGCGGAAAGACCTGGCGGTCGCCCGGACGCATCGACGGCGCGCGGCTCTCAGCCTCCTGCGCGCCAGTGCCGCTGGTCGCCGAGAGAAAGTACGAGAGCGGAATGCGGCGCGCGGTGACGACGGCCTCGCGCTGCTGCGCGGCTGCCTCGACGTCGGGCGAGCGCAGCGGCGGCGCAAAGGTGATGGGTCCGCGCGCACGCGGACTGAGGATGGGCTCGGTGCCGAGGCGCCAGCCCGCTGCCTTGACGGCGGCGGCTGCCTCAGCAGCGGCGGCGGCCTCGTCGCGCGGCGGCGGCGTGCGAGCGCCGGCTCGCAGCGGCCGTGCCGGCGCGCGCGCCGTGCTGGCGCTGTGCGTGAGCGCCGGCGGTGGCAGCGCCGGCGAGACGAGGCTGATGCTGCTCGTCGACTCGGTGCTGCATCGGCGCGGCGAGACGCGTGCACGCGAGGCGGGAGAGCGGGGCGCCGGCCCCAGCGAGAGCGGCCGCAGATGGGTGATGCTCTTCTCGCTGCTGCTGCCCATCGACAGCGACGAGTCGGCCGAGGGCGAGCGGCAGAGCTGCGCGTCGCCGCCCAAGACGTGCACGCCGCCGCGCGGCATGTGCCCGGCGGGCGAGGCACAGAGCACCTCCTGCAGCGCCTCCTCGTCGATGCCGCCGCTGCCGTCGCGGTGCACGTACTCCTCGTGCTGCATCTGCACGTGCAGCTGCAGCGGTGCCGGGCGCCACGAGCGTGTGGAGGCGCGGCTGTGCAGGCGTACGGGCGGCACCGTGCGTTCGACCATCTGCGGCTGCGCATTCGGGTGCGGCTGCCACGGCGCCGAGATGTCGATGGCGCCGGAATGGCGCCGGCGTCGGCGTCGGTGCACGACACAGAAGGCAAGCAGTGCGGCGATGCACAGCAGCACAGCGCCGCCGCCGCACGCAAGTCCGATGATGGCGCCGCGCGAGAGGCTCAAGGAGTGCGCGCTGCTGCTGCTGCTGCTGAATGGCGGCAGCGTGCCGGCAGAGCTCGACGGCGAGGCCATGGCGTGGCTCGGCAGGCGCGTGGTGGAGGGGAAGGCAGGCGAGGAGAGCGAGCGCGAGCTGCTGGGAGACGCAGAGCTCGTCGCAGCGGACGAGCTTGTCGGTGCCGCCGAGGATGCCGATGCGCTGCTCGCCGTCGGCGTGGCACCTGCGCTGCTGGTGCCGTTCCAGTCCCACGCGTCGTCGCCGTCGTACGGCGTGGCGAGCCAGGGCAGGATGCGCTGCGCCGCACTGCCGCCGTATGCGTCGTCCCAGAAGTGGCCGGCACTCCAGGCGGGAAAGAGGTCGTGGATGTCGCTGCGGCGAGGCATCGAGAGAAGGGCTGCGCGAGGCAAGGACGCAACAGGCCAGCTGTTGGGCGGAGGGAACGAGATGCAAAAGGAGAGCGATGAAATAGAGGTGCGAGGCGAGCCAGTCGCTGAAGAAGAGAAGGGGTGGAAGGAGGAAAGGACGACCCGGAGCGGGTCGGATGGGAGCGCGTGGCACGGGCGACACGCGGCGCCGCGCCTTTTGAGGGCGACAGCGACGGGTGCGCGACTGCCGCGCTGGCCGCAGTGAGGCCCGCCGGCCAAGATAGTTCTGCCCGGTGCGATGCGCTGCAAACTTCTCCTCTATCGCTGCGGCCGCCCCTGCTCCTGCGAGCGGCCACGAGGGGTGCGGGGGCAAGACGGAGGACGCGAGGGCGGCGCAAGCACGAGGCCACCGCGGCGCAGCGCACGACGCGGCGGCGAGCGTGGCGCGGCACGCCGTCAGTCTACGGTGTGCGTCGCGCGCTGCTCCCACGCGGTGCGGCGCAATCGAGGGCGCTAAGCGCGCTGCGCCCACTCGCCTCCACTGCTGGGCGCGGCGGTGCCGCTCGTGCTCTCGGTGCCGCACCTCTTTCCCGCCGTTTGCTTGCCGCAGTCTCCCTCTGCGCCGGCGCTGTGTTGCTCTGGGACATGCGGCGGCGCAGCGCTAGCTTGGCCGCGAGGGCCGCTGCACGCTGCCTTGCGTTGCCCTTGTGGCTGCAGCACCAGCGATACAGCGTCCAGCTCAGCGCCGAGCGTGATGCTGGCAAATCGTTGCGCGGTGCCGTCGCAGGCGCGTACCCGTCCCGCCTGCACTCTGCACTTCGCGCTTGTTGCTGCATTCTCATCCGGCTGGCACAGATCATGTGACTGTCCCTGCGCTCGCCATGGCGTGGTGATCGGCAGCTTTCACACCAGCTCAAGCGACGAAGGTGCGAAGTCGCCGGCCATGGTGCAAAGACGCTGGACAGCTCGTCACGTGACGCGGCACCGTTGGCGCATGGCGCCGCCGCCGCTCTCGCATCGAGATCGCCAATTGAACGTCCCGCGCTCTGTCGAGGTGCGCCGCTAAATGCTCCACAATCCGAGTTGATGCATTTCAAGGCCGTGTGGCAAAGTGTATACCTCCAGGCGTCGACCGCGGCGGCGCGGCGGTGCCTGCTGGGCTTGCCGCGTTCTGCGCCGCGGATGCGAGCGCCCGCTGTCTGTCAGACACGGCGAGACGGGAGGCCTATCTCCGGTCGCGCCTGGCGGCCGCAGGCCTAGCATAGCGCATCTATCGGCGTCCAGCTCTCATCCTTGCTGGCGAGCAGCGCGCGACTCTTGTGCAGGGACAGCACCGGCGCAGAGCAGTAAGAGTGGCACGGTGCACGGTGCGAACGCAGGACAAGACCATGCGCCTCCCACGCTTGAGCGCTGGGGCTGCTCGCCTGCAACTGCACTCGCATGCTTCTGTGCACCCTGCGCATCCTCGTGCGGCATGCGGGCGCCGCTCGATGTCGACACGCGACGCATCTATGCTGCGACGGCCCGAACGCTGACATGTGACCGCAGCACCGAAGAGGAGGGTGAGGGGGCCCGCCGGCGCCTCGGCCGCGGATTTGCAGCGCGTGGCCGTGCGGCGCTAAGACGAAGCGAAGCATCACGGCGCGCGGCGTGCTGCTGCGCCAAGAGGTGCATCCGGCAGCGGCCAGCCTCAAGCACAAGCGCTCATCGCGCGGGCGGCCGCGGCATCCCGCCAACACGCACAGGGGCGCGAGAGGGGCGAACGATGCGAGAGAGGACTTCTCGGCGCGCCGCCGAACGCTTGGCTGCACCGCTCAGCTAGGCGTGCGCTGTCTGGGCGGGCGCTGTAGCGTGTGCTGGCTCCTGCTGCAACTGGCTTCTCGGCAGGTTGCGCGCGCCGGCCTCGCGTCTCCTCACGCTGACCCCACTCGAGTGCTCGCGTGCTATTCCGAGAGGTGGAGAGCCGAGACTCTTGCGGGGCACTCAGCAGGGGTCACTTCCGCCGCCCGCATGGACGAGGAGCCGCTCGGGCCGGATGGCCCGATGTGCGCCGGGCGAAGCGGCCGGCGTCCGAGCCGCCGCGCACGCGCGGTTGCGGCTGCGTGCAGCCCCAGACGCAGCGGCCAGCGTGCCTGCCGCAGCTTGCGCCGCTCGTGCGGGCACAGGAGCAGCGCAAGCGTCTTGATCGCAAGATGCACGCGAGATGCGCCTTGATTTCGCACGCCGCAACCGCGTGGAGCAAGGGTGCAGGCGGCTCAGAGCACGAGACGAGTGTGCGGAGGGCATGCAGGCACACGCGAGAAAAGCACAAGGCGCGCGGCTGCGGCGCGACGGCGGAGTGCCGCGGTCGATGAGCGCCATCAGAGTTGCAGCGGATGCGCTCCTCTCTCTCTGGCGGCATGATGCTGTCTGTCAGTCAGAGGGCTGCGCGCTGCAGCTGCGCTGCACTGCTGTGCGGCTGCGGTGCCATGCTGCAACTGACTGCATGCACGCCGTTTAGGCAGCCGTCATGGTGCGTGGCCGCGCGCTTGGCCCGCACGGCAGCACAGCATCAGCACATCTCGTGCTCTTCGCTTGCGACGCCGCTCAGGGTGCAAGGCGCGTCTGCCGCTCCCCTGAGCGCCGCCGCGCACCGCACTGACTGTCGTCGCCTGATATACCGCCTGCACTCCACGCTCTGCTCCACCATCCCGTCTCCCTGCTCCGTCAACTCGCAAACGCAAGCCGTCTCGCCGCCGCCGCCGCCTGCACCGAGTCTCTGCTGCTGCCGCTGTGAAGCGCGCCTCCTGCGCCCATGCCGCAGCCTTACACCGCCGTGCCCGGCGGCGCTGACGCCTCGCCGCCGCTCGGGGCGCCGCACACGCCGCCGCTGGGCCATGCGCCGCCCGAGTTTGACTCGCCCGGCGACGACGGCGACCTGGGCCTGCCCGTGGCGCACTCGCAGCAGTCGCGCCTCTCCGCCTTCTCCTCGGCGTCGGCCTACGCGCCCCTCGAGGGCGGCCAGGCGGCCATGCCGGGCCGCCTGCCGCGCCCCCACTCCTTTGCCTCGTCGCACATGCTCGGCGCCGGCAGCGACTACGACTCGACGTACCGCCTCGCCGACTTTGGCCGCTCCACGCCCGGCCTCAGCACGCCGGGCGAGGAGCACGCCATGTACGAAAAGGGCGGCGCGGGCGCCTATGCGCCCGTGGCAGCGCCGCTGGCGAGCGACCCGCGCGCAGCAGGGCGCAGGCGCTACGGCGTCGCGGGGCAGAAGGGCAGCGCGCGCCGGCGCTGGTGCATCCTGCTGGCCGTCGTGCTGGGCCTCGGCATCATCCTCGTCGCCGTGCTTGTGCCGCTCACGCAGACGCTGCTGAAGGACGACGCGCCCGGCTCGTCCGGCGGCTCGCACGGCGGTGGCAGCAATACCGGCGACCAGGGCACGACGGTGGCCGACGGCACCGGGCACGGCGCCGGCGGCCGCGTGCTGACCGAGGGCGGCAACGGCACCGTCATCGAGCTGGCCAACGGGCAGAGCTTCACCTACATCAACAGTGCGTTGGGCGCAGTGAGGCTGGGGCTGATGCGCGGCTGTGCTGACGCTCTTTGCGACAGACTTCGGCGGCTACTGGCGCAGCGGCCTGCTGGACAACTCGGCACGCGCCCAGTCCTACACGCCCGCGCTCAACGAGTCGTGGGACTATGCAGCCGATCAGCAAATGGGAGTGAATCTGGGCGGCTGGCTGGTTCTCGAGCCGTTCATCGCGCCAGCGCTGTTCGAGCCATACGAGAACACGAGCACGCCAGTCGTCGACGAGTGGACGCTCTCGGCGCAGTGGCGGAGCGAGGGCAAGCTCGAGGAGAACTTCCGGAGGTGAGTGTGGGGGGCGGCCCGATGCAGCACAGCGGCTGACACTCGCGCAGACACTACGACACGTTCATCACAGAAGAGGACTTTGCACGCATCGCAGGCGCCGGCCTCAATTGGTGCGCGCCGAACGGCCTCGTCGCGTGCGGCTCCGCTGACATTTGCCTCTCAGGGTGCGCCTGCCGATTGGCTTCTGGGCCTTCGGTGTCGAGGGCGACGAGCCATTCCTCGAGGGCGTGGCGTGGGAGTACTTCCTCAAGGCCGTCGGCTGGGCGCGCAAGTACGGGCTGCGCATCAACGCCGACCTGCACGCCGTGCCGGGAAGCCAGGTGCGCAGCTGAGCCCCTGCGCTACCCCCGACACATTCTAACGAGCGCTTCACGTCTGCAGAACAGCTACAACCACTCGGGACGGCAGGGGCAGCTCGGCTGGCTCAACTCGCCGCTGGGCATTGTGTATGCACAGCGCACAATCAACTACCTGCGCACTTTTGTGCAGGCCATCTCAACGCCGGAAATCTCGCCCGTCGTGCCGATGCTCTCGATTCTCAACGAGCCGAACCTCAACATCGGCATCGGGCAGCCGGCGCTGGCCGCCTGGAACCAGGAGGTCTACTCGATGATCCGCGGCAACGTCACCGGCACCGGCGCCGGCCACGGGCCCGTCATTACGCTGCACGACGGCTTCATCGGCCTGCAGGCCTGGAACGGCTACATGCGTGGCGCCGACCGCGTTGCCTACGACGTGCACCCGTACATTGCCTTTACGCCGCCGTACACCACAGACGTCGGCAGCGGCGCCCTCGCAATCGCCACGTGCAACAACTTCCAGGCCAACATCGATGCAAGCCAGGCGCAGAACGGCATCACCGTCGCGGGCGAGTGGTCCCTGGCCCTCAATGACTGCGGTCTCTTCTTGAACCGGGTCGGCGCTGGTGTTCGTTACGACGGTTCGTATCACGTACAAGGGGAGGATAGTCCGGCGAGGACGGGCGATTGCGCATACGTGAGTACGAGTCGAGGCACGCGCGGCGCCCGCCTTCACCCTGCTGACCCTCGCCTCAGTGGGACGACTGGGAGAGCTTCTCCGCGTCGCAGAAGGCCAGCATGCGCCAGACGGCCATCGCGTCGATGGACGCACTGCACAACTTCTACTTCTGGACGTGGAAGATCGGCAGCTCGCTGCGCACGGGCAAGCCGGTGAACCCCAACTGGAGCTACTCGCTCGGCCTCGACAACGGCTGGATGCCGACGGACCCGCGCGGCGAGTCGCGCAACGCCTGCCGCAAATTGCAGTCCGTCTTTCCCGCCATCACGCGCACCGGCTTCCAGGCGTGGTCGTCGACGTACGCCGACTACATGACGGGCGCCGCCAGCACCTACGCGCCCGCCACGGCGTCGTACCCGTGGCCGCCGCAGAACATCGTGCAGAGCGGCACAGCCACGCTGCCTGTGTCGGGCCTGCCGCGCCTCACGCCGACGGGCTCGATTGCCACGGCGCCGACGCCGTCGTTCTCGGCGTCGGTGCAGCACGAGGCCGTGCCGAGCGTCGCCGCCTGGGCCAACACGGCGGACCGCGTGCCCATGTACACGCAGATCGCCGGCTGCGACTACGGCTCGTCGGGCCAGTGGCCGTGCGCCGGCAGTGCGCCGTCGCGGCGCAGCCCGTCGCCGGCGCCGGCCCCGACGGCCGCGGCGGCACGAGCACACGCCCGCGACCTCGCCGCATGAGCACGGCGTCTTCCCTGGTTCCTCTCCGTCACCCTTGCGCGCCTCCGCCTCTGCTCCTGATCCACACCATCTCACTCACGTCTACCCAGCACTCCTCACTCATTGCACTCTTCCCGCCGCGGCCCCTGTACTCTCTTACGCTCGCTCTGCCGCCTTGCCTTGCTCGAGGCGTGCCTACACATGCAACGACAGCTTGCACCGCCTCCGGAGACCGCATGCGTGACCTGAGCGACTCCGAGCGAGCGGTGCCGCGAGAGGAGCACCCTCGGCGCAGACCAACACCTGGCGCCCGCGGAGAGCCTCGCACTCTACGCGTGCGGCACGCGTCGCGCGCGCCGCTGAGAAAGACACACCCGCGCCGTGCCGCTGCGGCGCTCCACATGCGCCGTGCCGCGCGCGCCACTCATCTTGCCTCCCCACCACCACGAGCCTGACACACACTACACTGCTCCGCCCTGCCTGCTCCGCCGGGCGCGCCGCCCCGTCCTCATGGACGACTTCGACGATGACGACGTGTTTGGCGGCGACGCACTCGACATCGACGAGTCGCTGCTGCTCGCCCTCGAGTCGGGCGCCGCCGCGCAGCAGCCGCAGCAGCGGCAGGCGGCCGCACGCCCCGCCTCGCCGCTGCGCGACGTCGAGTTCCCCTCCAGCCCGGACCTGGGTGCCGAGACGTCGCGCCGCATGCCACAGCTCGGCCGCAGCGGCGGTGGCGGCAGTGCGCTCCGCTCGCCTGCCCCGACCATCAGAGTGCCCGAGACGCCCGAGCTGGGCGCCGGGCTGTCGAGCGCTCGCACACTGGCACGAGAGGTGCCCAACGCTCTGCTGAGCAGCGGCCGCTCCGTCGTGCGCACGTTCCAGTCCAGCTCGCCGATCCAGGTCATCTCGAGCGGCGTCTCGACTCAGCGCTCGCCGACGCGGCCGGCGCCCGACGCCTTCGACGATGACGACGACGCGTCGATGTGGGACGACTCGATGCTGGAGGGCATGAACGCGCTCGAGGAGAGCATCCAGGGCGGCGGCCCTGCCTTTGCACAGGCGCCCGCGGCCGCAGGTCCGAGCAACGCGCCGCGGCCCTTTGCCCGCACGAGCAGCACGGGCAGCAGCATGGTGCAGCGCAACCTGTTCGGCGGCGTGGCCGCGGCGCCACCGGCCGCCTCGCGCGAGTGGGACAAGGCCGCATACACACGTGCCGCTTTTGGCGGCTCGTCGGCGCCCGGCTTCTTCTCGCAAACGGCCGGCGGCGCGCGCCCGGGCGGCACGCGTGCGGCCAAGACGAAGCAGTGGGACCGCACGGCGTACGCCAAGTCCGGCTTCCGCTACAAGAGCGACGTCAAGGCGGCGAAGCGCAAGCAGGGGCAGATTGTGGAGGAGGACGAGGACGAGGTGCAGGACGACTGGGACGGCGAGGGGCAGTACCAGGAGCCGGACGAGATCCGAGACGTGATCGATGAGTGAGTCCGCCGGCCGTGGCCCCTAGCGGCGCGGGCGCAGCCCGACAGACGCCTGACGCCGGACTGCGCAGGCTGCAGCCGATGAAGCTGCAGATCGACGAGGAGGCGGCAAAGACGTTCATCTACCCCACAAACAAGGAGCTGCGCGACTACCAGTTCAACATCGTCAAGCGCGCCCTCTTCTCGTGAGTCGGCCTGCGCGCTGCTGCCGCTGCTCGGCTCACACCGCCGGCAGCAACACGCTCGTCGCGCTGCCGACGGGTTTGGGCAAGACGTTCATCGCCGCAGTTGTGATCCTCAACTACTTCAACTGGTTCCCCCAGGGCAAGAGTGCGTGCGGCAGCGCTGACGCCATGCAGCCCTTGCTGATGCCTGCCCTCGCAGTCATCTTTGTCGCGCCCACGCGGCCGCTCGTGTCACAGCAGCAGATGGCCTGCCACGGCATCTGCGGCCTGCCGTGGGACGTCGCGGTGGAGATGACCGGCGCGACACGAGCTGCTCTGCGTGGCGATGAGGTGTGTACTGGCCAGATGCGCTGCTTTGACCTGCCGCCGCTGACTGCGCCCGGCAGTGGGAGTCCAAGCGCATCTTCTACATGACGCCGCAGTGCTTCCAGAACGACCTTGCCGGCTCGGTCATCGATGCCCGCGACGTGTGCTGCGTCGTCGTCGGTGCGTCTGGAGCACAGGGACGTATTTTGGTGGCTCGCTGACACGCACCCAGACGAGGCACATCGCGCGACTGGCGGCTACGCCTACGGCAACGTCATCCGCTATCTCACGCAGCGCAACCCGTACTTTCGCGTGCTCGCGCTGTCGGCGACGCCGGGCAACAAGGCAGAGAAAGTGCAGGAGGTCGTCGACAACCTGCACATCAGCAACATCGAGATCCGCACGGAGGACGCGCTCGACATTCGCAAATACGTCCACAAGAAGGTGAGAGCCTCGAAGGTAGGGCGAGGCGCGGCAGCTGACTGCCCCGGCGCAGCTGGAGATGCCCGTCGTCGTGCCGCTCGGCGGCGAGGTCAGAGAGGTGCAGCAGCTCTGGGGCAAGATGATGATGGTGAGTCGTCTGCACCTCGCACACTAGGCCTCCGCTCATGCGTCTCCGCTAGACCTACCTCGAGCCGGCGCACAAGGCGCACCTCGTGCACACGGCTGATCCGACGATGGTGCACCCGTTCGCGGTGCGGCAGTCGCTGCGCGACCCCAAGCACCGGCGCTTCCTCTCCGAGAACAAGCACTTCTACAGCAAGCTCAACGAGCTCGCGTCGATGGCGCAGGCGATGCAGTACCTCACCGAGCACTCCGTCGGCATGTTCCACACGCGGCTGCTGGAGTACGAGGGCTCGAAGAACGTCGAGAAGGGCGGCAAGGTCGCCGCGAGCAAGAAGAAGACGATGATGTCCGACGCCAACGCCGACTACCGCAAGATCAAGGTGCTGCTCGAGAAGCTCACGATCCGCGACGGGCGCTTCTCGCACCCCAAGATGTGGTACCTGCGCGACGCCGTCACGGCGCACTTTGCCGGCGAGCGCGAGCAGGGCCGTGAGACGCGCGTGATGGTCTTCTGCTCCTGGCGCGAGTGCGTCACGGAGATCGTCGACTACCTCAACGACCAGGACGGGACAGACATCCGCGCGACGCAGTTCATTGGCCAGTCGGCGGACCGGCAGGGCCGCAAGGGCTTCAAGCAGAGCGACCAGGAGCTGGTGAGTGCCGGCATGCGACGCGCTCCCGTGCGACGCTCACCCATGCTGCTCCCAGGTCATTCACCAGTTCAAGAAGGGCTTCTTCAACGTCATCGTCGCGACGTCGATCGGCGAGGAGGGCCTGGACATTGGCGAGATCGACCTGATCGTGTGCTACGAGGCTGTCAAGGACTCCGTCCGCATGGTGAGCAGGCTGCCAGTCGTGTCGGCCTCCCAGCTGATGCCCCTCGTCCCCCAGCTGCAGCGCGTCGGCCGCACGGGACGCAAGCGCGACGGCAAGATCATCGTGCTCATGTCCGAGGGCCGCGAAGAGAAGCTCTGGCAGCAGTCGAAGGACAACTACAAGGCCGTGCAGCAGGGCATCACCACGGGCCTGCATCTCGAGCTCTTTGACGACGTGCCGCGCCTGGTGCCGCAGCATATCACCCCGACGGCAGACATGCGCGACGTCGAGCAGCCAGAGTTCAATCCGGACATCATCCGCGAGACGACCGAGGCGAACCGCAAGAAGAAGGGCGGCAAGAAGGCGCCGAAGAAGGCAAAGAAGGCCAAGACGATGCGCGAGGTGCCCGAGAATGCCCTCACGTCATTTGTCAAGGCGTCGGCGCTGAAGAAGGGCAAGGCCAAGACGAAGGCGAGCAGCGGCGCGCAGCGCGGCGAGGGCAGCAGCAGAATTCACGGCAGCGGAGCCTCTGCGACGGCCTCGTCCGATTCGGACGAGCCCGACGAGCCACCGCCGAAGGCTCTCGCACTCAGCGACGACTCCGACGACGAGATGCTGGCCAGAGGCCTGCGCCCTCCGTCGCCTAAAGCGAGAGCGCCGGCGAAGAAGCTCGCCTCCTCGCCAGCGCTGAGCGAGGCTGCCGGGTCCGCACAGCGCGGCAGCGCCGCCGGCACGCCAGACTCTTCACGGCCACGCGGCCGCAAGCTTGGCATGGGCGTGCGCCGCATGCCGTCATCTTTCGTCCCGGCTTCCGAGGTCCGGAGGGCGACAACTAGCGCCATGGGCCCGCCGCAGAGCACGTCGCGGCCGGCGCCGCAGCGCAAAGCGTCTCTGCCAGAGGGCCGGCGAGGTGGAAGCGACTCGGACACAGACGACTCGGACATCGAGTTTCTGCCCGGTCCGCCGCCCGCCAAGGCAGTCGCACCGCGGCCGCGATCGCCGTCGCCAGTACTGCAGGCAAAGCGCAAGCCGCATCCTCTTGTGGCCGCCCTGGCTGCGAGCGCCGAGCAGGACGGCCCCGAGGACGACGAGCTTGATGCCGCGCTCGCAGAGCATGAGATGCTCGGCCACGACGAGGCGGATGCTGCCGTGTCTCCGCCCTCGGCAGACGCACACGACTCATTTGACGAGTTCGCCGACGAGCCCGACTTTGACGAGAGCGTGCTCGCCGGCCTCGAGCAGCTGTCTGCTGCGAGGAAGCAGGGCACTGCGCCCGCGCCACAATCGTCGCGACGCTCTCTGCTGCGACACGAAGGCGCGGTGTCGCCCGGATCGCCGCTGGCCGACAAGCGGAGCATCGCGAGCCGCATCGCGTCGAGTGCGCGACTGAGCGCTGCTGGACCCAGCCGCAAGGCCACGCCGGCCTCGCCGGAGGAGTCGCCCTTCGTTCCGCGCGTCCGCCGCTTCGTGCGCTCGCCAAGACGGTCCTCGCCGGCGGAGGACGACGACGAGGCGATGCCACCACCGCTTGCTCGGCCGGTGCGGCGCTTCCGCCGCGCGATCGAAGACGACGAGAGCACGGGCGCCGCCGAGAGCTCCAGGGCCGGCGCAGCGGGCGCGAACGGCGCGCGCGGCGCTGTGCCCGCCGTCATCATCACAGCCAAGCGGCGCGCCGATGGTGCGGCTGAGAAGCGCACGAAGCGCGCCAAGCGCAAGCGCATCGGCGGCTCGCCGACGAGCCGCATGCTCTTCCGCAACTCGGCCGAGCGCGACACGGACGAGGAGGTGCACGGCGAGCGCGACGAGGACGACGAGGGCCTGCACACCGAGGACGACGCCGACTCGAGCGACCGCGAGCACGTGGGCGACTTTGAGCCGACGCAGGCGCCGCGCAACGTCAACATGCGTGCCATCTACCAGCAGTCGCTGCTGTGAGTGTGCCGTCTGGAGCCTGCCACCGCTGCGGCTGACCTGTCTGAATTGCAGCACGCAGGGCGCTACAGACTTTGGCGGCCCTCCGCGCCGTCGCTGGGAAGGCCACGGCGGCCGCTACGGCATTGGCGGCCGCGCCTGGCAGGCCGACCCGCCGACGGCCGGCGCCACGAGCGACAACGACGAGTACGAGCGTGACTCGTGGTGCGCCTCTGACGGCTCCCAGGTGCGTGTGGTGCCAGCCGCGCGCAACACGGAGGCTGACGCCCCTGCGGCAGATCGAGGTCGAGGAGATCACCGGCTCGAGCCAGCCCGACCGCAGCTCCCAGTAGGGCCCGACCGCTACACTACCCTGTACAGCACCCATCGTCCCGCCCATGTACTCTAGCACATCGCATATCCCTACGAACAGTCCGTCAGATCACGAAGCGTGGGTCAGGAGGCAGTTTTGCGACGTCAAGTCTAGAGTACAGGGGTGAAGCAGGAAGCAGTCATGCGCGGGCAGGAGGGCGGAACACGTCTCCTCAGGCCTCGGCCATCTCGGTGTCCTCGTCGTCGTCGGACGCGGCGGCCGACGACTCGTCACTGTCCTCGTCGCTGTCCTCGCCCTCGGCCACATCCAGCGCGGGCAGCTCCAGCTCGCGGTCCGCGGCGAGATACGAGTCGGACATGAGGAAGAGCTTGAGGCGGCTGTGCACGCCCTTGGGCAGCGTGAACTCGAGCTTCGTCTGCAGCGTCTTTGTGATGGTAACGCGCTTGATGGAGAGCAGCGTGCGCGCGCCCGGGTCGCCGACGACGAGCCACCAGTTGCACAGCTTGCGGTTCGGGTAGTACGGCGCCACGACGGTCGGGTCCGCCGGCTCCTCGTCGTCCTCGTCGTCCTCGTCGCGCGCTAGCGTCACGTTGAGCGTAATCGGCGCGCCGGCCGAGAGCGCGTCCTGCTCCTCGATCTCAAAGGACACCTCGACGTAGGGAAAGGCGTTGGTGAAGCGCGCAACGTCGGCGAGCTGCCGCTTGTCCATCTGCAGCAGCGCGTCGCGCTCCTTGTCCGAGAGGTCGGGCAGCGTGTCGCCGAGCGCAAACACATCCTCGATGCCGCGCGCCTTGCAGCGCTCGATGACGTCGGGCGTGAAGTGCGGCACCTGCCGCAGCGGCGAGTCGCGGTCCCACACGGCCTGCACGCACATCTGGCTCAGCTCCATGGCGACGAGCGCGTTGAGGTACGCGTTTGAGCTCATGACGTCGACGCAGGCGCTCAGCAGATTCAGGATCTTGCCGAGGATCAGCTTCTGGTCGCTCTCCAGGTCCGGCGGCAGCGAGAGGCGCGCAAAGTGCGCCTGCAGCAGCACAAAGACCTTGTGATACGGGCTCTGGAGGTTGATCTTCTCGAGCTTGTGCGGCAGGCGGTCGTAGATGCGGCGCAGCACCACGTCCTCGTGCTGCCGGATCGGAATGTCCTCGAACTCGGCCGCCGAGCTGACAATCTCGAGCAGGCCCTTCATCTTCGTGCGCTCCTTGAGCGACATGTTGAAGACGTCGATCGAGACGTAGGAGATGTTGTAGAAGCTCGAGACTGCAGGCAGAGTCAGCATGTGCCCACATTCCCCCACACACCAGCCACTCACTCATGCCCAGGTTCAGCGGCGCCACGTCCATCTCGTCCTCGATCGTGATGCACTTGGCGTTCTCGAGGTCGGCCAGCGTCGTCTCGACGAGCTCGGAGAGGAAATCGCCGATGTGCTGCATTGACGAGCCCTGGCAGTTGTACGCCTGCGGGTTCTGCTGCAGGCGCCGGTACATGAGCGTCCACGTGAGGATGTCGACGGCGCTCTGCTTGTCGTCGATAGTGCGCGCGACGATCTCGGCGTTGAAGAAGTCCTGCGCGTACGAGCTCAGCCGGCTCTCGACCGGCAGGCCCTCGGCGAGGAACTTCATGAAGAAGGCCTTGCGCGTCGCCTGGCAGAGCAGCACGCAGCGGCTGCCCTGGCCACTGGCGCCGATGCGCGTGGCGCGCCCGACCATCTGCAGCACGTCCGTGAGCGGATAGTCGATGTAGCGGTGCTCCTTGCCCTCGTACGACTGCACGCTGAGGATGAGCACGAGGTGCGCCGTGAGCGGAATGGACCAGGCGACCTCCTTGCTCGCGATCACGACCTGGATCGCGCCGGCGTTGTACAGGCGCTCCACGATGGTGCGGTCGCCGCGCGACAGGCCCTCGTGGTAGAAGCCGATGCCGTGCTCGAGCGTCTCGGCCAGGTCGCGGTCCTGCAGGCGCGCCAGGTGCGGCTTGAGGTCGTCGGCCTCGATGTTGAGGAAGCGGCTCTCGCCGCCCTCGCGCTCGCTGTCGGCAAGCACGTACGAGAGCAGGTCGTTGGCCGTGAGCTTCGTCTGCTTGCGCGAGGGCACAAATGCGAGCACGGGCGAGTCGGCCGCGTGCTCGACGATGGCCAGGTACGCCGGCTTGACCATGGCGATCATGAGCGAGGGGAAGTGCGGAATCGAGAAGCTCTGCAGGTGCACCTCGACCGGCACTGGCCGTGCGGCCGGCGAGAAGTTGTACACCGACGCGGCCGGGCAGCCCAGCCAGTCGCCCAGGTCGCGCGCGTTGCCCAGCGGCACGCTGAGCGCGACGAAGCGCGTCTTGTTGCCCGTCTGGGCGGCCACGAAGCGCGCGCGCGACAGGACGATCTCGTACGTCGGCCCGAGGCGCCAGTCGCCGAGCATCTGCACCTCGTCGGCGATGTACAGGCCGACGGACTGCACATTCTTGCGCTGGCGCCAGCGGCGCGAGAGCACGTCCCACTGCTCAGGCGTCGCGATCACGACGTCGGCCAGCTCGAGCAGCCGCAGATCGGCACTCGTCTCGCCGGTGAGCCCGACGATCTCCTTGCCGCCGCCGAAGGACGCAAACTTGGCCTTCCACTCGGCCACGCGCGGCGGCAGCATGGCGTCGAACGGCACGATGCACACCGTGCGCGGCGTCTGCTCGTCGCCGCGTGACCGGCTCTCGGCCCAGAGGCGCATCATCGCGAGCTCCGCACAGACCGTCTTGCCGCTGCCCGTCGGTGCGCCGACGAACGTCGAGTCGTCCGTCTCGTAGAGCGAGTGGAACGTCTGCGTCTGGATCTTGTTGAACGTGTCGAACGCATCGGCATAGAGCGCCTGCGCCTCGCCGCTCTCCAGCGACCGGACGGGCATGGGCTGCCGGTCCTCGAGGCGCGTGTGCGGCGGGAACTTCTCGGGCAGGATGAGGTTCTTGAACGAGATCGGCAGGCGCACCTCGCTCTGCAGCCAGCGGTCGCTAACGACGGAGATGTAGTAGTTCGGCGGCACCGGGTCGGTCATCGGCACGGTGAAGGTGACCGAGTGCTCCTCCTGCGCGTAGCGCTGGCGCAGCAGGAACGTGTCGTGGAACAGCACCGCCTCACCGTCGACGTCCTCGACGATGATGTGGAAGCTCTGCGCGCCGCCGTGGTGCTTCTCGTCCCACTGGAAGTCCGGCGTGATGGTGAGCTGCACGTGCAGCAGCGAGCGCGTGATCGGCTGGAAGAAGGCCTGCAGCTCGAGACGCGGGAACTGGTTCACGAGGCGGTGCACCAGACGGCCGGCCTTGGGCTCGCCGATCAGCTCGCCGATCTCGTTGGGCTCGAGGTCGCGCAGGCGGTTGAACGGGTACTCCATGCGCTCGAGGCGGCGCACGAGGCCCGGCGGCACGCCCTTGAACTGACGCAGAGGCGTCATCGAGCCCCACTGCCGGCCCTCGACCATCTTGCAGAGGTCGAGCGCGACGTGGCTCAGGCGCGCGTAGCCGCGGCGCAGGCAGATCTCAAACAGCGCGCGCAGGATGCGGCCCGCCGACTGCGTGACGTACACCATGTCGGCGGCCAGCACGTAGCCCTCGAGCTTCAGCTGCGAGATCCACGTCTGCAGCAGCACGTTGATCTTCGCGGCGGGGTCCTCGAGTGTCTCCTTGACCGGGATCGGCACGCGCTCCAGCAGCTTGCCGACCTCGAGCTTCTCGTCCTGCCGCACCATCTGGTGCTTGAACTCGTCGGAGAGCGCAAAGATGCGGAACAGCTCGATCATGCCGAGGTGCGGCTTGAGGTGCTGCAGATACGTCGCCATGCTCGTGTGTGCAATGTAGTAGTGCGACGCGACGCGGCCCAGGTCGTTGGTGGCGAACTGGCCCGTCTTGCGGTCGTAGCGCAGCATGCCGCACTTCTCCAGGATCACCGCGGCCGAGTGGATGATGTCGGCGCGCTTCTGCTCCAGGAACGGGTCGTCGTCGGCGTAGTCGGCGGTGATCGAGTAGAGCGCGGGCGTGCGCAGCATGCGCACGTAGAGGTACGTGTAGCCGAGCCACGCCACGGCCTCGTCGCGGTTGCGGATCGTGCCGAGCACAATCTCGGCGTTGAGGTTGTCGGCGAGCTTCGACACGAGCTGCGACTCGATCGGCAGCTGCTGGTTGAGCAGGCTGAGGTAGTACTGCAGCTGATCGTGGTTCGTGATAATGATGCCCTCACCGAACGTGTCGTACTGCGGCCGGCCGGCGCGGCCGAGCATCTGCAGCATGTCCTGCGGCGACAGCTCGCACCAGCGACCCTTCTCGGGATTGTAGATCTGCGTGCCCTTGATGATGACGGTGTGCGCCGGCAGATTCACTCCCCACGCCTGCGGTAGCAGGTCAGCAGTCCGCACATGCCGCGCCCCCTGGCGCCACTCACCAGCGTCGCCGTGGACACGAGCACCTGCAGATGGCCGTCGCCGAACAGGTCCTCGACCAGCTGCCGGTCGGCGCGGTTCATGCCGGCGTGGTGGATGCCGAAGCCGTACGGCATGACGTCGCGCAGGTTCGCGTCCTTGACGTTCTCCAGCTCTGCGGGGTCAAGGTCAGCGCTGCCGCACTTGGCCGCCACGCGCGCACGCACCAGTCTGGAGCACCTCGCGGCTGGCCGAGCTCTGCGGCAGGAACTGCTGCAGCGTGTCGTTCTCCATGGCGTGGTCGCGGATGAACTTGGCCGTCTTGGCCGTCTCCTTGCGCGAGTGGCAGAAGATGAGCACCTGGTTCTTGCCCGCCTGCTCAAGCGTCTTCTCGTAGCACACGTCGTTCATCACCTGGAAGCGCCGGATGGCCTTCTTCTCCGTGATGCCGACGTACTCCTGCTTCAGCGGGCACGGCCGGTAGGCCGCCTCGAAGTAGAACAGGCCGCGCTTCGGGTTCACGCGCAGGAACGTGGCGACGTCCTTGTAGTTTGGCAGCGTCGCCGAGAGGCCGACGAGCCGCACGGGGTCGTTGAGCTGCTCCATCTTGCGGATCGTGCGTGCAATGATCGACTCGAGCACCGGCCCGCGGTCGTCGTGCAGCAGGTGGATCTCGTCGACGATCATGAGCCGCACGAGGTTCGTGTAGCTGGTGTCCGTGCTCTTGCGCGAGATGACGTCCCACTTCTCCGGCGTCGTGACGATGACCTGCGTCTCGGCAATCTGCTGCTTCGTCAGCTGGCTGTCGCCCGTCAGCTCGTTGACGGTGATGCCGTAGTGGCTGAGGCGCGCGCGGAAGTTCTCGGCCTGCTCGGCGACGAGCGCCTTCATCGGCGCGACGTAGACGATCTTGAAGGCGTTGAGGTCGAACGCGCCGGTGCGCTCGTCGCGCCACTTGCTCATCTCGTTGAGCATCGTCAGCATCGCGACGTTCGTCTTGCCCGCGCCCGTCGGCGCGCACAGCAGCATCGGCTCGTCCTCGCCAAACGCAATCGGGTAGCAACGCGACTGCACCGGGTTCAGCGCCTTGGCGCCGGGGAACGCGCTCTGCGCCCACGCCGGCAGCGCAGAGATGGGCACGATCTCGTTCTCGGGCACGGTACGCTTCGTCGGCGCGGGGATGTGGATCTCCTCGTAGCCCTTCTTGCTGCGCTTGTAGCTGCCCTCGGGCAGCCGCACCTTGGCATTCGAGTTGAGATGCCCGCCTGCGCTGAACGCCATCGCCTCGAGGTCGACACCCTTGCGCGGCGCCAGCGTCGAGCCCGGCGCCAGCGTGGCGGCCGTGGTGATGCGGTGCGCACGCGCCTTGGCATCGTCGTCGATGTCCATCGGCACCAGGCCCGCCGGCGCCGCGCCCGACTTGGTGTCGCCGCGCAGCGCCTTGAGGATCCAGCCCACGCCGCGCTCGCGCATCTCCACCTCGACGTCGGCGCGCGACGTCTCGTCGGCGCGGCCGAGGCGCGTGCACCACACCACGACCTCGCGGTTGCGGATGAGCGTCTGCACGATGTCGAACTTGTCGTAGTCGAACAGCTCCATCAGGTCGTTTTCAGCGTCGCGCGCGCTCGTGTCGTGGCCGAGGATATCCAGCGCGCGGCTGGCCTTCTCTGTGGCCTCGTGCGCGTCGGGGTACGCGCCGGTGAGCAGCCGCTGCAGCCAGAACGAGTCGACCTGGTGTGGCGACAGGACGCCAGTGTCCGCGCCTGCTGCCCCTCGCCCTGCCGCCGTGCCATTCCGCTCGCCAATGACGAGCTTCTCCTCGCCAGACGCGTCCGAGGCTCCGTCCTGCGCCTCCTCTGCCGCGTCCTCGTCCTTCGGCGCAGCATCCTCGTCCTCGTCGTCGCTCTCCTCGCGTACGACGTACGTGTCCTGCTCTTTGTCATCCTCCTCCTCCTCTTCGTTCTCAAACAGCACGGCCACGCCGTCCTCATCGAGAGCGCCTCTCCGGTCAGCGTCGGGGTCGCCGGTCTCCTCGCCCTCGACCGAGTAGTCGGTGAGCTTCTTCGACAGGTTCAGCAGCTGCCCAAACGTCTCGGCGTCGAGATTCACGCCGAGAATCGACTCGATCTCCTTGGCTTTCTCCGAGTCACGCAGGTCGTCGAGCTTGAGCGTCTCGATGACGCCGTCGGCGGCAGAACGCACGACGTCGGACGTCTGGTCGCCGAGCGCGCGCAGCGTCATGTTGAGGATCATCTCGTACGTCTCGCGCGTCTCGGCGGTGCGCGGCACGTACGAGAGGCCCTCGATGTCGGCGGTGGCCTGCAGCACGTCGGCATAGCCCTGCCCGACGGCGGCCTGGCCGGTCGCGGGCCGTGGCCGCCGCACCTCGCCGTCCTCCTCGGCCTTCTTGCGCTTCTTGTCGAGGTCCTTGATGCCCTCGCGGCCGGCGCGCGAGCCCATCGCCTTGGGGTCGATGCGCCCGACGAGCGTCTCGGGCGCGCCGGTCGGCTCATTGTCGTGGCGGTCAACGAGACGGCGGTCGGTCTGCGTGACGAGCGACGAGATGGCGCTGTACTGGTAGCCCGAGAGGTCCTGCTTCTTCGGCGGCATGGCGGCGGCGGCGCAGCGGCGCTAGCGCACGGCCGAGGGAAGGAGATGCGGCGAGCAGCCGGGCCGCTGCAGGCTGTCGCGGTGCGAGAGCAGTCCGGCGCAAGGGGGCGTGCAAGAACGGGACCGGGGCCGAGAACAGGGAACGGGCCGGGAGCGGCGCAGAGGACCACGGCGGTGCGAAGGAGCGGCGGCTCGTCTGTCGCTGAGGGAGGGTGGCGAGCAGCACGGCGGGTGGAGTGGGCGGTCAGGAAGAAGCGGAGCACAGCCAGGGTTCGTGCACCGCCGTCTCAAGTCAGACGCGTGGCCGCGTCACGTGCGCGCCTCCCACAGCGCTCTGGCTGCCGGGCTGGCTGCCTTGCCTGGCCTGGCCTGCGCGCGGTCGCGACTCCGGCCATCGGTGCGCCTTTCAGCAGCTTCGTCTCGCTGCCGGCGCGGCTCACCTCGACTGCGCACCCTCACCACCACACCTCACCGACTGCTCTTCTCCGCGGCTGCTCGCCGCCAGGCGATGGCCCTCTGTCCGCGGTCTCTGTGCTCCCCTCTGCTCTGAGCAGGCGCCTGGGCCTGGCGGCAGCGTCGTCGCATCCGACGCTCGTCGCGCCGGTGCCAGCCGCCATGGCCGAGGCCGCGGCAGCCCCAGCGGCCGCGCCCGCGAGCGACATCTCGCCCACCGCCGGCGCCGGGCCATCTGAGGCTGTCGATGTGCCTGCGGCCGAAGCTGCTGTGCCGGTCACTGAGGCCGCGAGCGATGCTGCCGAGCCCTCGCTCGGCCCGCCAAAGATGTCGCTCTCGCTCCTCGATGCACCCTCGCCATCACGGCCCAAGGCCCCCCTCGAGAGCGCTGCATCATCACAAGATGTCCTTGCGCCATCAGGAGCTGCGATCGAATCAGCTCCTGCTCCCGTGGGCGCAGAAGAGTCGCGCGACGAGATCACGCCTCTGCGGCAAGACGCGAGTGCCGCAAAGGACGCGCCGGTCCTTTTCCACGACCCACCCTCGTCGCGCCGTCGCTCCGTGCCACCGTCGCCGGTAGGCGCCGCCAAGGCGCAGCCCAGCAGCACGCTTTCCACTGCGCCGAGCAGCAGCAATCGCGCCGACGATGCCACCGCACAGCAGCCGCCGGCCAGCAGCGAGCACGAGGACGAGGCAGCAGTGGACGACGACGACGAAGACGATGCGACCGTTGACGAGGAGGGCGGCGTCATTCGGTGAGTCAGATTGGCGCTCCTGAGCCTACCTCTCTACTCACCCTCCGCGCCAGCTGCATCTGCGGCTACGACACCGACGACGGCTTCACCATTCAGTGCGAGCGCTGTCTCGTCTGGCAGCACTGCGCGTGCTTTGGCATGTCGCAGTCGTCGGTGCCGGATGAGTATCTCTGCGAGACGTGCGACCCGCGCCCGGTCAACATGCACTTCGCCCAGCAGCATCAGCAGAAGCGACGCGAGGCCGAGACGCGCAAAGCCGTCGAGACGGCGCGGCGCATGAGCACGAGTGCTGCGTGGGCCGCCGCTCACGCCGCCGGCCTGCCGTCTCCCCGAGGCGAGGCCACCGCTGGCTCACCGCAGACGCAGCAGCAGGCTCAGCCACAGCAGCCTGCCAGCTCGCCGCCGGCACCCGCGCAACAGTCGCCGCACGAGCAGCCGGGCCAGCGCCAGCCGCCATCGCGAGGCCGCAAGCCCAGCGTCAGCATAGACCTTAGTTCTGCCGGCTTCGTGCCGCCTGAGAGCGCCCAGGTCGGTGGCAAGGGCAAGAAGAAAGGCACGGCGAAGAGCGGGCGCAAGACGCCGGGCGCGGATACACCCGCAGCAGGCACGCCGCGCGCAGGCACCTCCTTTGCCGGGCCGCTGACGCCGCTCACCGCATCGCGCGCTGCGAGCAATGGCAACGGAGGTGCGGCGACTCTGGCGACGTCCGCCGCAAGCATCGCCGCCGCCGAAGCCGACGAGCGTGCGCTGGAGCGCCTGGAGGCTTGGCATGCCGAGTTCACGCCAACGGAGCGCAGCATCGTCGCAGAGCCTCGCTGTCTGGCCACGCTCGAGGCCGCCATGGCCGAGTACGGTAGCGCGCGGCGCCAGGCGCTGCGCACCGCTGGACCCGAGCGCTTCGGCGACAGGGATTGCTGGATCGTGCAGCCGGCATCGGGCTCAGCGCCGCCCGGCGACGAGGACATTGCTCTGGACTCGGTCGATCCGCTCACGCCTGTTGGCGGCGAGTGCGTCCCGATCGAGCTGTCGGGTCCCAGTCTCGATGCGCTGGCGTCGCCCACGTACGTCAAGCACATCTCGGAGGGTGCCGCCGGCGCCATCTTTGGCAACGTCATGTCGATCGCGCCGCTGCCCTCGGAGCCGTCTCGGCCCTGGTGCGCCTCGCGCACCTTCTCGCGGCCGGTCATGCACGGCCTCTTTGCCGATGCGCCGATTCCGAAGGGCGCCTTCATCACCGAGTACCGCGGCGAGCTGCTCTCGGCGGACAAGTACCGCGCCGACCCTGTCAACCAGTACCATGCGATCGGCACGCCCAAGCCGCATGTCCACCTCTTTCCGCCGCCGCTGGCTCTGGCGATCGATGCGCGGCGCTTCGGCACCGAGGCGCGCTTTGCGCGCTCGTCCTGCCACCCGAACGCTGTCCTGCGCCCGATTCTCTTTGCGCGCGACGCGCTTGAGGGTGCCGACTCGCCTGCCGAGGCCGAGCCGGAGCTGCTCTTTGGCATCTTCAGCCTCGTGGACATTCAGCGCACGCACGAGATCACGCTCGGCTGGGAGTGGGACGACGAGCACATTGTGCACCTGCTGCCTGCGCTGGTCAAGAATCCAGCCCTCGGCGTGCCCTCTGCGTCGACCGACGGCGAGGGCGCGAGCAGCGCGGCATTAGCTGCAGCTGCGATCGCTGCCAAGGTCGCCTCGGGCGCGCGCACCACGGAGCGCGAGAGGCGCAATGCGGCCATTGCCGCACTGGCAGAGCGCGGCGACTTTCCCTACGTCAACACGCGCTTCAGCGCCAGCATGAATGCTGTGCTTGCCGTGCTGCTCGGCGCGGCACTCTGCGCGTGCATCGGCAGTGCAGCGGCGCCCGCGGGCCAGGGTGGCCATGCGAGCGCAAACAACGCCCGGCGACAGGACTGCGCCATCGCACAGATGCTGCGCCTGGCGCAGGGCATGAGCATGCAGAACGTCGCCATGCCCGGCAGCAAGTCGCACCGCAAGATCCGCCCGCCAGACTTTGAGCCACTGGTGGGCGTGCGGCGCTGGTGGCGCACGACGAGCATGCCGCCGACACCCGCGGACAGCGCCGATGCGCCAGACGAGGAGGAGAAGGTCGACCTGACGCTGCGCGGTCTCGATGTGCCATACCAGACGACAGCAGATGGGCGTGTGGGGCTGGTGCAAGAGGCGGACTACCTGCGCGCCATCAAAGACGCCGAGAGACGAGCACTCGCCGAGCGGCGCGCCGCTGCGGGCGACGCGGACATGGACGAGGTCAAGGCAGAGGCTGTGTCGTCCGACGAGGACATGAGCGACGCGCCCTCTGCCGCCTCGTCGCTGACAGAGCCGCTGTCCGGTCTGACTGACCTCGAGGACGAGGAGGATGAGGACGACGAATTGCGAGACCTCATCCGTCGCGAGCAGCTCGAAGAGGACGGCAGCTCCAGCTTGCTGCCGCTCAAGAAGCGAGTGTCTGGCACGCGTCTCAAGGCGACGTACTCCAACGGCGAGGAGTCCGATGCCGAGGGCGATGGCGTCGCGGGCTCGCGGCGCATGTCAAAGTCGCGCAGCACACCGCTGCCTCGCGGACAGCAGTCGAAGAAGCGCAGCCGCGTGTCGTCCAAGGCCAGTCCCAAGCCTCCGAAGGCGCGCCGCAGCCGGCCACGCGTGGAAGACAGCGACGAGGACGACGGCGCTGCGCCAAAGTCATCTTCACGCTCGGCAAAGAAGCGCCGCCGGGCCGGCAAGTCTATCGAGCCCAGCTCTCCTCTGACTTCGGCGCCGGACGACGGCGAAGGCTCATCTCTCTCGGATGCCAGCCTGAGCCCTGCGCCTACGCTCCGCAAGAACTCGACCGTGTCGACTGCGGCGTTCTCCGACATCCTCTCGGACCCGGACAGCAGCGGCGACGATCAGCGTGTGGCCTCTTCCAAGGGCTCGCGGCGACGCAGCTCGGCGAAAGAGGACGATGCTGATGTCTCGCGCACGTCTGACCTGTCGGAGGCTGCCCTCCGCGCACGCAACGCCAACAACCTGGCCGCGGCGAAGCTGGCCAAGGCGCGCAAGCAGCAGCAGCGCATGTCGCTCGCTGACCTGGCCGAGAGCGAGTCGTCCGGCGAGGAGCGGCAGCGTCCCTCGCACAAGCAAAGCATAACGAAGCGCGCCCGGTCTTCCGACCCTGCGCGCGTCGCCAAGGTCAAGAAGCCACGCCTGGTTATCTCGAGCGAGGATAGCGACGGTTCGGAGGACGATGACTCGCGCGGCACGCGAGACCGCACACCGACGCAGCAAGCTGACCTCGCTGCCCGCGCCGAGGTGACGTCCTCGCCGTCGCAGCCGCAGCCGTTCGAGCCCGCCCCGGCCGCTGCGCCCGAGCCTGCTCCTGCTCCCGAACCTGCGCGAGCCAAACTTACGCTTGCGGAGTACAAGAAGCGTCTGGCAGAGCGTCGCACGACGGAGGCCAATGCTTCCGCAGTGCAGACGCCGTCCGAGCCCAGCGTCACGCCAGTCGAGGCAGCGCCGGCACCAGCACCGCTGGCCCCGCGCCCGCCGCGCTCCGCGACCCCGCCGGGCGTCGCCAGCTACTTCCCGCCTGCACCGCTGCGGCCGAAGTCGCCTCCGCCGCCTCGCACGCCCATCACGGCCGCCAGTCCGTTTGGCGCGCGGCCGCCTCTGCCGCCATACATGACAAGCCCCACCGCTCTGGCAGGTCCGCGCGCCCCTGCATACGGTGCCGCGACGCCATTTCAGGCCGCGATGCCGCAGGCAGCGATGTCTCAGAGCGCCACTGGTCCTGTCGCACCGCCGGCATGGGCTGCGCCTCCGCCTCCCAGCAACGTGCCGACGTCCGTACCCGCACCGCGGCCGCCAAGCAACTTCCGACAGGCGTTCCGTGCAGCTCTGGGCTCAGCCGAGGCACCCCCGGCGGGCGCTCCTGGCCCCGGCTTCGAGCGTCCCTTTCCCGCGGCGCCTCCACCCGGGACGCCTGGCTTCAACCCGCCTCGCGGGCCCAAGGCACTTATCAATGCTGCCGGCCCAGGGCCGCGCATGCCCTCAGCCGCCATGGGCCAGCCGACCTTTGCGCGGCCCGGCGATGCACCTGCGAGCCATCCCGGCGCGCGCCGGCACTCCAACTCCTTCTCCAACGCCAGCGCGAGCAGCATGAGCCCGCCGCACGCGATGGGCGGCCGCATGTCGGTCGACGTGTCGATGGGCGGCGCGCCGAACCAGACGCCCAGCCCCAGCCCGACGCTGCGAGCCAGCTCGGGCGACTTTGGCGGGCCCAACGGGCCGCGCGGCTCGCTCGACGACGGCATGCCGGCGCCCGACTTTGGCGCGCCGGCGCTGCCGCCCAGCCCGCGAGCGCCCGTGCCGCAGCGCCCAGTTGCTCCAGGTGCGATGCCTGGCGGCGGCCTGGAGCCTGCTGGCGGCTTTGTGCCTGGCTTCGCGCCCGATGCGGCGCCTGGCGAGGGTCCGCCGCGGCCAGGCCCTCCCGGCGCCGGTGCGCCAGGCATGGGTGCGTGGCGCGGCCGCGGCCGAGGCTGGTTTGGCGGTCCCGGCGGGCCGCCTGCGGCACGAGGCGGTCCTCCCGGCGTGCCTCGTGGCGGCGGCCCACCGCACGCTGCGCCGGGCATGGGTGCGCCGGCGTGGCCTGCCGCACCGCGAGGAGGCGGCTCGGGCTGGGGCGCCCGTGCCCGCGGCGCCGGCTGGCGTGGACGCGGCGGCGGCGGCCGCGGCAGCTGGTGATGGCACCGACGCTCGTCGCTGTGTGCGCCGTCTGTTCCCTTTCTCTATACCTCTGGGCATCCATCTCCCTCCTGTCACCTCCCGATGCGCGATGCAAGGCGGCCTCGCGACTTCTGTGCTTGTACGTGACCCACGCGCGCCCCTCCGCGGCGCCCTCCTGTACTTTAGCTTGGCTTGCACTCGTAACGACGATACTCTGCATCCTGCGCTAAGCCTCCGTCTCAGCGCTGCGCCATGAGCGAGACGCTGCACATGAGATGAGAGCCCAGCCGTGAATCGAGATGGCGGAAGGCGCACGGAACTCGGCCAAGGGCGACGGCCGCCTCCCGAGCTCCGACGATGGACGCCGTGGAATTCCGCGGCGCACGCCCGAGGCCGAGCCCTCAAGCTCGGCGCTGCCTCATCAGGAGCGGATGCTGCCGTCTGGCGACGCGAGAGCATGCTGCGAGCCCAAGCCGCGGATCAGACAAAGCGCTCGAGAAGTCGGCGGCGCGGCGAGTGAGGTGCGATGTGCTGGTGGTGCGTGGTCGCGCTGCAGCGTCCCACGATCTGCTGCCGGGCAGCCGGGCCGTGTCGCAGCTTTCGCGTTTTAGCCTCCGCCAGACCGCCGGCAAGCCGCTGATGCTGAGCGGCTGCGGCCTCTGATGCTGCGCTTGCAGGCTGACAGGTCCGATGCTGCGCTGCTCCGCTGCCTTGCTGTGAATGCAGATCTCCCCGCGTTCCGGCGCCGGCACTCGACTTGCTGCTCCCAGCGCAGTGCGGAGCTCGCCGAGAGCCGTTCTATAAGAAGCCCGGCCTCGCTGTCGGGTGCATCCGTACGCCGCACATGCCTGCCTCGCAACCGCACGCACCGCCAGCCATGACGCACAACCTCGCCGACAACACGGGCTCGCCGCGCCGCCAGGACATCGAGATTGCCTCGCCCGCCAACGACGCGCTGCTTGCCGCCTGGTACTACCCGGCGCCGTCGGGCAAGCGCGGGCCCGTCGTCGTCTGCGGCCACGGCCTCGGCGGCACGCGCGAGTGAGCAGCCAGCGCGGTGCGGATGCGCAGTGTCGCTGACGCAGCTCGCAGGCAGGGCCTCGACGACTACTGCGCTGTGTTCCAGGAGGCCGGCTACGCGGCGATTGCCTTTGACTACGCCGGCGTGAGTGTCGGGCGCGCGGCGCAGCACGGCGGGCGGGGCTGACACGTCGCGCTGCAGTTTGGCGCCTCCAAGGGCAATGCGCCGCGCCAGGTGCTCGACTGGTGGAAGTGCGTGTGCCAAGCGCGAGTGCTCGGTGCGCTGCTGATGGCCTCGTCTCCTGCAGGCAGCAGCGTGATTGGGACGCCGTGCTCAGCTACGTGAAGCAGCACGAGCTCGTCGACCCGGCGCGCATCGCCATCTTTGGCAGTAAGCTGCCGCGTGCGAGCTGCTGCGTGCACTGCTCCTGACCCGCTGTCCCTCAGCCTCGTTCGGCGGCGGCCATGTCATTGAGGTGGCGGCGCGCCACAAGGAGGTCGCAGCTGTGATTTCGCAGGTGCGCAGCACAGACTCTGGCTGGTGATCAGTCGCTGACGCACTCGGCGCAGTGCCCCTTCACCGACGGCATCCGCTCGGCCCTTTGCGTGACGCCGCTGGCATCAGTGCAGCTGGTGCGTCTCCCGAGCGATGCTGCTTGACGATCAGCACTGACGCAGCCACACAGCTTGGCCGCGCGCTCCGCGACTACTTCTTCTGGTCCGAGCGCGAGCATCTCTCCGTGCCGTGCGCCGGCAAGCCGGGCGAGGTGGCGCTGATGAACTCGCACGACGCCTGGGACGGCTACCTGGCGCTCGTGCCCGAAGAGAAGCGCGAGGCGTTTGAGACGGTCAATGGCCTAGTTGCTGCGCGCCTCGTGCTGCAGATGCCTTTTCTGCGGCCGGGCGCCAAGACCTCGCAGGTCAAGGCGCCCATCTACTTTGCCATCTGCGGCAGCGACAGCGTGTGTCCGCCAAATGCGACGCGGGCGTATGCCAAGAAGGCGCCGCGTGCCGAGATCACCGACTACGAAGACATGGTGCGCAGCCTGGCTAGCAAGCTGCAGAGCGCAGCACTGACGCTCTGCTGCAGTCGCACTTTTCCATCTACAAGGGCGAGGTGAGCGTACTTATGGAAGACGCGCTGGCCTGCCGCTGACCCCCTCGCAGCACTTCAAGCGCGCGACGGCAGACTACCTGCGTTTCCTCAAGAAGCACCTCGTCACTCAGGCCTCTCTCTGATTCTGGAACGTGTCTCGTTAATGCATGAATAGGAGTACAGATGCCGCGGCGTGCAGAAGCAGAGCAGGTTTTGGAGCAGCACAAAGAGCGCGCGGGTCGGCCAGTGCAAACGAAGCAAGGGTGGAGCGCTGCTCATCTAGGTCTAGGGCAGGGTCGAGGCCGGCGGCGGGCGGTGAGCTGCACGCAGCTGCTGTCGCTTTGCCTGCGCCTCTTCGATCTCGCGGCGCCCGATGTTGGAGCTGTCGGCCATGCGGCGGAATGCGCCGTCGGCCGCGCCGCGGTCGAAGAGCTCGAGCGGCGGGCCTGCCTCGACGAGGCGGCCGCTGTCGAGCACGCACACGCGGTCCTGCAGCGAGGCGTGAGCTGATGTAGGACCGAATGCGCCAAGTGACACTCACGTAGGCAAGGATGGTGTGCATGCGGTGCGCAACGGTCAGCACTGTACGTGCTGCCATGTCGACGGACAGCGTGCGCTGGATGGCTGCGTCGGTCGAGTAGTCGACAGAGGCTGCAGAGAGGACAGTGAGCCACGATGCCGCGAGGGGCACAATCACACCACTCACCAGTAGCCTCGTCCAGCACGACGATCTGGGTGCCGCGCGCGAGCGCCCGGGCCATCGAGACGAGGGCGCGCTGGCCGACGGAGAGATTGCGGCCCTCCTCCTCAATCTCGGTGTCGAGCGTGAGCTGTGCCGTGCCGGACTCCTCCGACTGCGGCTCCACCGTCATGCTCGACGCTGACGACTCGGACGGGCCCTTGACGAGGCACGCGCGGCGCATGGCGTCGTTGAGCGTTGCATCGTCACGCTCGTCGAGCGGGTCGAGATTGTAGCGCAGCGAGCCAGAGAACAAAAGTGCGTCCTGGGGGATTATGGAGATCTTGCTCCGCAGCGCCGCAAGGCCGAGCCCGGCGATGTCCACGCCGTCGATCTTGATTGAGCCGCCAGAGAGCTCCATGAGACGCAGCAGCAGCGTGACGACTGTGGGAGCGCGTGAGCAAGCTCCAGCGAAGGCAGACGGCTCGGACTCACGAGTGCTCTTGCCCGCGCCCGTGCGGCCGCAGACGGCCACGTGCTCGCCGGGCGCAATCGTCAGGTCGATGCCGTCGAGCACGACGGGCAGGTCCGGGCGATGTCTGGCAGTGACGTGCTCGAAGCGGATCTCGCCCGCGGCAGGCCACGCAGCCGGCAGCTTGCTGTCCGTCTCGGGCACCGAGTGCGGCGGCTCCGTCTCGACGTGGTTGGCGTAGTGCACCATGCGCTCGACCGAGCTCATGTTGTTCTCGATCTCGGCGCTCTGCCGGATGACCCACGACCAGATGCTCTGCGCGGAGAGGATGTAGGAGAGCGCCACGCCGGTCTGGCCCGGGCTGATCGTGAAGCGCGTGCCGACGGTGAGCATGGCGACGGCCAGCACGAGGAACGCGCCGAACGAGTCGAGGCGGATGGAGAGCCAGCGCTGGCAGGCCATCGACAGCCAGTATGCCCTGGAGGAGGTGTGAGAGATGCGATGGATACGGCGGCCTGCCGGCTCGCTCACCTGTTCTCAACGTCGATGCGCCGGGCGTTCTCGTGCAGAAACGTCTTCGACTCGCTGTACGCGCGGATCGTGCTGATGCCGGTGAGCGACTCGGAGAAGTGCTCGTACATCTGCGAGCGGAGCACGGCGTCGAGGCGGCGCAGCTCGCGCGAGCTCGTGCGGTAGTACAGGCCCGTCCAGAGGTAGCAGACGACCATGACGCCGACGGCGATGAGGAAGTACGGCGTGAGGTAGGCGATCAGCACGATCGAGCCAATTACTTGGACGCTGCGCATGTGTGTCAGTGATGCACTGCAAGGCGGGCAGCGCGACGTGACTCACACTGTGCCGAGGAACGTGCGAATGGCGTCGCCGATGACGTTGTCGATCACGTCGACGTCCTTGCTGAAGCGATGCGTGATGCGACCGAGCGGCGTCGTGTCGAAGAAGGATGTCGGCGCATGGGCCACACGCTCGAGGGCGCGGCGGTGCAGCGTGCGCGAGCTGAAGTACGTGAAGAATGCGAACACCTGGCCCATGCACAGCAGGCCCACGGCCTGGCCAATGCCGAATGCAGCATAGCCGCCCATGTAGGCGCCCTGCTGCAGGCCGTACGTCTGCTCCTGCCACCAGAGCAGCCAGAGCGGACTGAGGATCGTCGAGCCCTGGAAGACGATGACGGCCAGCACGAAGAGCGGCAGCAGCAGGGCGATGTTGCCCGCGCCAAAGTACTGCGCATACGTGTGCTTGGACACGGAGCCGGTGTTGCGCTCCTCGACCTGCATCAGCGCCTTGGGCTTGCTGCCCTCGACGAGCTCGCGCTTCTTCTTCTCCGGGTCGCCCTCGGAGAGACCGTCCTGTGCCTTGGCGTCGTTCGGGGCCGAGACGGTCGGATCCACCTCGCGGTCGGTGGCACGGTGCGCAGCCTTGTCGTCGTTGAGCTTCGTGGCCTCGCTGTCCACGGTGTCGGCCTCGTCGACGTCCTCGAGGTGCTCCATGCGCACGGCGCCGCCCTGCACACCGCCGTACTTGTCGACGTACTGCGCGAACGAGCCGGCGTTGCGCATCAGCGCCTCATACGTGCCGTGCTCGGCGATGCGCCCGCCGTCGAGCGTGTAGATGTAGTCCACGGATGCGAGCAGGTGCAGCGCGTGCGTCGCCAGGATGCGCGTCTTCTGCCGCATCGAGCCGAGGATGACGCGGCGGAACACGGCCTCGCCGACGTGCGCATCGAGCGCTGAGAAGCAATCGTCTAGAAGGATGACTTCATCGTCGTGGTACACGGCGCGCGCGATGTTGACGCGCTGGCGCTGGCCGCCCGACAGCGACACGCCCTTCTCGCCGACGACCGTCTGGTCGCCGTCGGGCAGCATCGCAAAGTCGGGCAGCAGACAGCAGTCGCGCACGACGCGCTTGTAGCGTGCCTCGTCGTACTCCTTGCCGAAGATGATGTTGTTGCGGACTGTCGAGCTCAGGATCCACGCCGACTGCGCGCAGAGGCCGAGCGAGCCGCCGAGCGTCACGCTGCCGGCCGTCTTGCGCATCTCGCCCGCGAGCGCGCTGATCAGCGAGCTCTTGCCCGAGCCGATCGGGCCGACGATCGCCACGAGGCTGCCCCGCGGGACCTGCATCGTGATGTTCTCGAGGCGCGACGGGCGCGGCGCCGGGTCGGAAGCTGTCTTTTCGGAGTCCTGGCGCAGCTGCTTTGCGTCCTTGGCCACGCCCGGCGCACCGCCCTTGCCGCCCTTGAGCGTCGGCGGCGCGCTGTCCCACTCGAAGCTGGCGTCTGACACCAAGAGGCCCTCGGTCTGGTGCCGGTCGACAGGGTGGCCCTCGGGTGCGACCTCGCCCTTGAACACGAGGGACACACGTCGTGCCGCATTTGTCGCATCCGCGATGGCGTTCCACGAGACGGGCAGGAACTGCAGCGGCGTGCGCAGCAGCTGGAAGAACGTCAGCGCCGAGAAGATGCGGCCCGCCTCGCCGGTGAGGCTGTGGCCCGTGGCGCTATACGTGATGAAGCTGATGACGGCCGCGAGCGTCGGCACGGCGAAGGCGACGGCGATGTTGGCGCTGCGCCAGCCGAGCCGGCGTCGCAGAAACGAGAGCTCCTTGGCGCGCAGCGTGGCGATGCGCTCGAGATACGGCACCTCCCAGGCGAACGTCTTGATGACGCGGATGCCCGACATGAGCTCGGTGATGGCCTTGACGCGCGCATCGGTCCAGCGCATCGAGCGCTTGCGCAGCGAGAAGAGGTGCTTGGTGATGAGCGACTGCGTCGGCGAGAGCAGCAGCACAAAGGCGAAGCCCGGCAGCGCCGAGTAGCCGAGCGTGTAGATCATGAGCGCAAGACAGATTGCTATTTGGCTGTGGGGTGGCCACTGTCAGCATGGGCCGCTCTGCCGTCTGTCTGCGCCTACTCACACGAGCGAGGTCCAGGCCATGTGGAAGAACTGGCAACAGTAGTCTATGCGGCTGACGTCCGCACTGATCAGGCTGACGAGCTTGGCCGTGCCCAGCCCGCCGCTGACACGGGCGCGGTTCGAGAGCTTGAGCGCGCGGCGGTACGTGGCGTGGATGAGCGCAGTGCGCAGGCGGATGCCCGTGCCGAAGCCGCGGTAGAAGGAGTGCACGTTGAGAAAGACAATGGCCAGCTGCACGAAGAACAGGCCGAGGCCAAGGCCGATGCCGGGCCCGATGCTCGGCGCCGGTGGCGCGCCGGCGACGCGCACGCTGTTGTACGAGTCCGAGACGAACTCGGTGATGGCGCGCAGCAGCAGCGGCGACGTGATGGTGCCGATGTCGGCGAGCAGCTTCATGAAGCCGCCGGTCCAGAAGTACCACAGGACCACCTCGTTCATCGCCCACACGAGCGACGGCTCGGCCGGCTTGTGTGCCTTGGGCGCCCGCCGCGCCAGCCGTCGCCAGACGCTGGCACGCGGCGGAGGCGTGTTACTGCCCGCCTTCTCGCCCTGCTCCAGCTTGCCCGGCGCCACGCCGTGCTTGGCGGCATAGGCGGCGTTGATGGCGTTGGCACGCGCCACTTGCCGCTCCCATGCCGCCTCGAGGCGGTCGGCGTACTGCTCGGCAAGGATGTCGTCCTGCAGGCAGTACAGGTCATCGGGCGCCAGTGGCCGCGTGTAGCCGACGGTGAGCAGGCCGTTGAGCCAGGAGAAGGTGAGCTTGCTCAGGATGTTGGCCTTTGCCTCGGGCGAGATGGTCGGGTTGGCAAAGTTGGAGAGCGGCGCCCGCGGCTCCGTCGAGATGAACGGCACACGGCGATACCATGGCCGTGGCGGATAGCTCGGCAGCTCGCCGACGGCCATGGGCACCGAGGTGTTGGGCGGCGGCGGCATGGCGGCGAGCGGCCTGTGCTGGACGGTGCCGCAGCCGACGGCGCGCCTGGCTCGGCGAGGTCAAGCTGTGATGTCAAGCAGATCCCGGTGCGTGCGAGGGGTGCAAGCACAGAGGCGCAGAGGTGCGCGAGGAGGAGCGTCGAGCGTGAGGAGGGCGTGAGGCGTGACGAGGAGGAGCAGTCGACGGCGAGAAGAGCAGTGCGGCGCAAGGGTCGGCTGAGCGAGGGCAGGTCAGCGAGGCGCCGCGATGGTGATGGCGAGAGATGGACGACGACGCTCGGAGCAAGGGCCAATGCTCGAAGCCGGCGACAGGGCGGAGTTGGTGCGGCTGGGGAAGGAGCGGCCGGTGAGGAGGATGTCGCCGAGGCGCTGCGCGAAGACCCGCATGCCGCTGCGGCCGCTGCATCTTGCAGCTGACCTGCATGTCCGGCTCGGCGTCCTGCGTGCATCTTGCGCGCTCCTCGCTGCCCTCTTGCGCGGCTCCGGCACGCTCAGCTGATCTCCGCTGCTGAGCAGATCTGCACGCCGCACGGCAGCGCAGCCGCCGACTTTGAAAGGCACCGAGCGCGCTAGCGCCATCGCGGTGCGCAAGCGGGCGCGCCAGCCAGCCGCCGGCAGCGATGGCGGCGTATCTGATTTCGCGGCACGCGGCCAAGCGTACGTCATGCCCTGTCCGCCGGCAGAGGAGGGAGCGCCCGGAAAAATCTGGGAGGGTGGAGCTGGCCCTTCACTCTTCTTCGCGGCTGCTCGTCCTCTCAGGTCATCTGTGCCTGCCCAGCAGCGCAAGGGTGCACTCTCTCGCGTGATGATCGGGGCGCATCAGCTAGGGGCACATTTGATGGCCTCGCCGTGGCGCAAATGGACGAGGAGGCATCAGCTAGGGGGCGGCGCGGCTCTGCATCGAGCGCTGCATCATAATTCAGAAGAAGCGGGCCGAGACCTCTTGTGTGCTGCTCTTGCCGGCCAGGCTCAGGATCTGGGGTGCTGCGGGTAACAGTAGGTGGGCCGGATCACGAGAGGAAGCGAGGACAGAGGATCTGCGGCCAGCTCCCCAGCTCTGCAGCGTGCGCGAGCCGGCGGCTGAAGTGGAGCAAACGCGGCGCGGCGGAAGCGGCGTGCAGGGCCGATCTGGCGCGCACGGAGCACCTGCTTCCTTCCACCACCACCACCCAGCACCCTCACAAGATGGCCACCGTCCCGCCGTCCGCCGTCGTGCCGCTCGAGGAGCGCCCGCTCGAGGAGCGCTTCACGCTGCCCGACATGACGCCCGTGCAGTACCGCGAGGCGGACTCGCACGACCGCATCGACGTGCAGCTCGGCGCGGCCGCGCAGAAGGACAGCGAGCTGGCGCCGCTGGCGGCGTTTGTCAAGACGGACGTGCAGAGCCGCATCAGCCTGCACGGCGCCGTCAATGCCGACCGCGCCGTGAGCGAGCATGTGTGGGAGTTCCGCGCGCCCGGCGACGCCGCCGTCGAGATCTCGGCGTTTGACGCCTGGGCGGCGCTGTATGCGTGTGAGTGCTGCGAGAGAGACAGGACGGTCACGCTCGGCCGGACTCTGATGCTACCGGCATGGCGCAGTCTGGGTGCGCCGCGACCACCTCGAGCGCCAGCCCGTGCAGCTGGGCGCCTCGCTCGCCAACCGCGACCATCTCTACGCCTTCATCACGCAGACCGGCCTCGGCTTCCATGCGCCCGACAGCAAGGACACGTACGAGGTGCTGCTCGACCGCTCAAGCTTCTGGCAGGGTGCGTGCGGTGTACGCTTCTGCTGCCTTCTCCACTGACGCCTGGCGCAGGTGCTGGCGCGCCGCGCTCGCGCTCCTGGCTGCAGGCGCACGTCCCCTCGGTGTCCGACTTCGGCCCGCTCGCCTCGACGGCGTTCCCGCACACCATCTCCTTTACGCGCTCCGACGACCCGCCAGTGCTGACGACGCACCCGCTGCGCCCGCCGAAGCCGGCGCCGGGAGCTGTCCTCTACTCGCGCTGGGTGCACAGCGTCAAGCAGCACCTGACGCTCACGCACATCGACGCCAACAATCCCGAGCACTTTGAGGCCTACTGCCGCTGGCAGAACAGCGACCGTGTCAACGTCGGCTGGCGCGAGAAGGGCGACGAGGCACACCACCGCAAGTACCACGCCGGCCGCCTGGCGGACCCGCACATCATGGGCTTCCTCGTCGCCTGGGACGGCGAGCTGGCGGGCTACGGCGAGGCGAGCTTCAACAAGGAGGATGTGAGTGGAGGTTAGAGCCGCGTGTGGTGCATCACTGACTCGTACTCCAGGGCATGGCTGCGTTCGCCGGCGGCATGGGCGACTACGACCAGGGTAAGCGTGCCCAGTCTCAGCGTCACAAGACCGCTGCTGACCCACACGCCAGGCACACATCTGCTCATCGGCGAGTCCAAGTTCCGCGGCCGTCACCGCTTTGCCGCACACGTGCGTCCCTTGCCCGATGCCGTAGACGGCTCGGCGCTGACACCGGTATTCACAGATGGTCAGCATGAAGCACTTTGCCTTCCTGCGCGAGCCGCGGACGCGTGAGTGCGAAGCTGGCGTGCAGCAACGTTGCCTGCTCACTTTACTCCGTCTCAGAGATCGTCATTGGCGAGCCACGCGTGGACCTCAGCATCGTGCCGCTTCTGCAAGCACACCTGCCGCAAGACCGCCGCAAGGTCCTGCCGCTGCCGCACAAGGACGCTGTGCTTTTTGTGGGTGCCGAGCAGTGCTGCATCGCCAGAGCGTTGCTGACCGGCTGCCGCGCAGATCCTGCACCGCGACCGCTTCTTCATCGACGGCATCTTCTTCTGAGCACGGACATAGCTGCGCTAATAGATCATCTGACTCGCGACTCTGTGTGCACGGCATGACTGACAGCCGAGATCACGCGGGGACAGGAGCGATGATACAGTGACATGAACTAACAAAGCAAGCCCGATGCAATCTAGCGGCCATGGAACACAGGGACCCTCTGCAGCGCGGCGAGTCAGTGGCGAGCCCGCGAATGGACACGTCGCACCACGCACCTTGTCGGCAAAGGCGCTCAGCGCCTCTCGCCGGTCCTCCGTCGGCAGCAGCTCTTCGTAGCAGGCCTGCTCCCACTGCAGCGCCGGCGCCAGCTCGAGGTCCTGCCCGCGATTGATGGCGGCCTTGGCGGATGCCAGTGCCAGGGGTGCTGCAGAGTGAGCGTCAGCGACGTGCGGTGCTTCGTGCACCAAGCGTGCTCACCGCTGCGCGCCATGCCCTTGGCCAGCTCGAGTGCCCGCTCCGTGCCTGTCTGGTCCTTCTCGGAGACGTAGTCGAGCAGGCCCCAGTCGAGCGCCAGCTTGGCGTCGATGAGGCGGCCCGTGTAGATGAGCTCCTTGGCCTTGGTCGGGCCGAGGAGGCGCGGCGCACGCTGCGTGCCGCCGGCGCCGGGAATGATGCCCAGCTGCACCTCGGGAAAGCCGAGCTTCTGCACACGCGAGTCGGCAACGCGAAAGTCGCACGCCAGCGCCAGCTCGAGGCCGCCGCCGAGCGCCGGACCGTCGATGGCGGCAATGGTGGGCACGGGAAAGGCGGCGACGCGGTCGAACACGCGGCGCAGCTCGGCGAGGAAGGCGACGACCTCGGCCTCGCTCATCGTCTTGCGCTCGACGAGGTCGGCGCCGGCGCAGAAGCAGGCGCTGCTGCTGGCAATGACGAGGCAGCGCAGCGGGCTGTGGCCGGCGGGCCGCTCGGCACTGCCGCGCCGCGACGACGACGCCGACGCCGGCTCGCCGGGCACGCGGTGCGGTGGCGAGGCGGAGCGCGATGTGCTGGCGGACGGCAGCTGGCTGGCAAAGGCGAGCGCGGCGTCGAGGGCGGCGTCGAAGTCGGCCAGCAGCTGTGGCAGTGTCAGCCGCGGCGGTGCTGCGCAGTGCGCCCGCGCCGCCTGCTCACCTGGCTCGAAATGGCGTTGCGCGCGTCGGGGCGGTCGAGGACGATGCGGTGGATGCCGTCCTCGTGCGCCTCGTGGTGCACCTGTGCCTTGCGGTTGCTCATGGTGGGTGTCGGGAGTGCCGAGGCCGGCGGTGCGAGAGCGAGCACGGCGCGCTTATGGGCTGGCGCGGCTGGCTGCGGTGCGCGCGGCGCGCGAGCAGTGCAGATCGCAGAGCCGGTGACCCTTGGTGGCCTCGCTTGCGGCCGGCCTCTGATGTGCTTGCTGCTTGTGCTTGTGCGAGTGAAAGGGCGATGGTGGACGTGGCTGCGCGACAAGTGCAGACGGCTGCGCCCCTCCAGGCAGCCGCCGCCAAGCGCAATATCGAGATGCTGATCTGATCAGCTGGCCGCTGCTTGAAAAGTGCTGGGCCGAGGCGAGCCGGCGGCTGGGAATTACGGGGTTCATGCGCTGCCCGCACGCACGCTCCGCCGCTTGCATCTCCGCTCTGCCGCCTGCCTGCCGCTGACGCGCCGCCGGTGCCGGCAGAGGCACGTTCTGCGGCTCGGTGGAGGCGACCGCGCCCGCCGTTAGCGCGGATCAGCGGCTCGGCGCGCATCTCGAGTGCTGATCTGGCGAGCTCTGCCATCAGCAGCAGCGCTGAGCTGTCTCCTGTCATCGCTTGCAACACCCTCGGGGGTGTGAGGAGCGGATGGCGTGCGCAGCGGATGCCGCTGGGCTGCTGGATGCTGTCCCTGCTGCCCGGGCGGGCGAGCTGGCGCTGGCTGCGCTGCCGGCTGTGCCAAATTCGGTGCCGCGCTGATTTTTTCCGGCCGGCGCCGCGCGCGAGATCTCTCGCTCTCGTGCGTCATCGGCGCGGCGCGCCTCTCCCGTCTTCCGCGGCTAACCGCGGCGGCCGCCCAGGGTCCGCCTACGAGGCGGCGTGGCCCCTGCACGCCTCGCAGCTCGCTGCAGATGCAGCTCGGCGATGCGCAGCAGGGCGTGCGAGTGAGAGTGCTGATCTGGTTTGCTGATGAGGGCTTGGGGGCGCTTCAGCAGGATGGCTGGCACGGGTGCGCGTCGTTGAGGCGCGCGCGCGCGCGCGCTTCGACGCGCAGGCTGTGCGCGTCCATGCTTATGCACGGCCGCCCCGCACCTTGTCCTCCCGCCCTCTTGACCCTCGCTGCTCACTTCTCTCATACCTCTCTACAATTCTCTGTTTGCGCCTGCTCCGTCTATCGGCCGCGCCGACTGCCCTTCCCACCCTCTTCCTGGCTTGACGACGCCGCCCTCCACTTGGCGCCCTCACCCGCTCGCCGCCTCGATGCAGGCGCTGCTCGAGAAGTACACGCACCAGCGCTTCCCCAACCTCGCCGACGAGAGCAATGCCGCCCAGGCGCGCCTCTCGCTACGGCATCCGCTGCAGCTGGCCTCGAGCAGCGCCTCTGCGCTCGATGTGGTGCGCGCCGCGGCCGTGCGCCTCGTCTGCGCCTACGTCGACGGCACCGAAGTGCTCGTGGGCGCCGTGACGGATGCCGAGGAGACGCGACTGGCGCTGGCAGAGGTGCACGCAGAGGAGGGACAGTCACAGCCTAGCCGCGCCGATGTGCAGCGCAGCCTGGCCGAGCAGCTTGCCGCCGCCGAGCCTGCCGCCGCAGCCTCGCTGGCGCAGCTCTGCCGCGACGCCGGCTACCAGCTCGCTGAGGGCGAGTCGCCGGCGCTCATCACGGTCGGTGATGTGCCGCCAAAGGGGGAGGACTGGTATCCACGGCATGGCGTCTCCGTGTTCGTGCCCGACAGCGGCGCAGAGCTGCACCTCATCGCCGACGCCTCTCAGCTCTCAGAGGGCGCCGCAGAGCAGTTCCTCGAGCAGCTCTCCCGCACGGCCAGCGCATTCGCCTCGGAGCCTGACGCCTCGTTCCTCGACAAAGACGGCAGTCTGTCGCTCCACTGGCTCGTTTCAGAAGAGGACGAGGCGCTGCGCTCCGCGTACGCTGCGCCGTACGAAGCCGAACGTGCACACCTCGCGACCGAGTGGCTGGCGCGCAACGCCCGCGAACGGCCCGAGGACGTCGCGCACGAGCTCTACGACGAGCCAGACGGCGAGAAGCGCACGCTCACATGGGCGCAGCTTGAGCGGCAGAGCAACCAGCTGGCGCGCTGGTTGATACAGCAGGGCGTCGAGAAGGAGAGCCGTGTGGGCATCTGCCGCGGGCGCGACGAGCACTTCTACATTGCCATGGCCGCGACCCTGAAGGCCGGCGGCTGCTATCTTCCGGTGAGCAGTACAGATGCTGCATCCCTCCTCCACAGCACTGACATGCGGGTTCTTAGATCGATGCAGACCTGCCGCCAGAGCGCAAGAGCTACATCGCCAAAGACTCCGAGGCGCTTCTCGTCCTGACGAACGAGGCGCAGGCGGAGCTCTTCGGTAAGCTCGCGCACGACATGGATGACAAGGAGCTGCAAGGCAAGATTGCGCAGGAGAGCGAAGAAGCACTCGAGCCAATAGCAGACCTGGACGGTCTGGCATACATCCTGTACACATCAGGTCAGTGGAGCCACAGCCTCCTCAGCCGTCCGTGCCCTGACCTCCTGTGCAGGCACGAGTGGCAACCCGAAAGGCTGCCTGCAGCTCCACCGAGGCGTGTTCTGGGCGATCGAGGCGATGGTCACTTGGCCGCGGGAAATCGTCAAGCCAGAGACTGACAAGCGGCTTGCCATGGCCGGTGAGTCATGTCAGCTGGGCACGAGCGAACTCGACTAATGCTGCAAGCTCAGCGGTGGCTTTCGACGTGCACATCAGCGAGATTGTCCAGTCGTGGGCGCTCGGCGTCTGCCTTGTCAGCGTCGCCTCCCGCCTCGCGCTGCTGGCGGACCTGCAGGAGAACATCGAGCGGCTGGGCATCGCGCAGATCGGCATGGTGCCCAGCATGATCGAGGCCACACTCACCAAGCAGCCCAACGAGCTGCCGATCAAGTATCTCGTCTCTGGCGGCGAGAAGCTGACCGATGCTGTGAGTCGAGGCGTGAGCTGGCGCAGAGCCGTGACTGACTGTTCTCTGGCAGGTTTTGGCGAAGTGGGCCGCCCACCCGGACGTGATCCTGGCCAACTTCTACGGGCCGACAGAGGCCACGATTGGCTGCACATCTCGGCGTCTGGAGGGCGTACACGAGCGGAGGGACAACATTGGCCTGGCATTCCCAGGCTGCGGCGCCTACGTCGCCGATGCGAACCTCAACATTGTCCCGCGTGCCCACCCGGGCGAGCTGATTGTGGAGGGGCCGCTCGTTGGTCGGGGCTATCTCAATCTGCCAGACGTCACGAAGAAGGCGTTCATCGCCTGGCCCACGCCCGGATCGCGCGCATATCGCACGGGCGACCTCGTGCGGATGAATCACGACGGCACGATCAGCATCTCTGGGCGCATCGACTCGCAGGTCAAACTACGCGGCGTGCGCATCGAGAGCGAGGGCGTCAGCGCCGTGGTGCGCGACGCCGCCGACGAGCAGCCGCTCGACGCAGTCACCGTCGTGACGACGCACGAGGCCGCAGGCGGCTCTGACCTGCTGGTCACCTTTGTCGCGCCGAACGACGATGCGATCTCGGCCAATGATCGCCGCGCTGCCCCGGCGCTCGCGCGGCTGTCGCCAGGACTGATGGAGACGCTGCGCGATGCCACCGAGCAAGGGCTGGCCTCGTACATGCGGCCGTCGCACATCATCCCGACCGAGTTTCTTCCGCTGTCGCACAACGGCAAGATCGATGCCAAGCCGCTCATTGCTTTGTTCAAGGAGACGGACATGGACAAGCTCATGGAGCTGCAAGAGGAGGATGGCGATGGCGGCGCGAAAGGCGACCAGGCAGCGGACGAGCGCGAGCCCACCGAGCTCGAAGCGAAGCTCATCGCGATGATCGAGCAGCTCACACAGGCGCGTCATGGCTCGTTCTCACCGAGCCGCAAGCTTCTCGAAACTGGCCTCAGCTCGCTCAACTTCGCCGTGCTGACGACGCGGATACGCAACGAGCTCGGCGCGCGCTTCTCGGTGGCGCAGCTGATGAGCATCGGACGCATCGCCGACTGCGCTGCCGCAATCGAAGGACACAGCGAAGGCAGCAGCCGCTCAAACGACGAGGCGGCTGCGGCAGTTGCGGCTTTCGCAGACGAGCACCGCTCGGACGTGGAGGCCGTCTTCAAGGCGGACGATGTGGAGCGCATCCTGCCTCCGCTGCCTGTGCAGCCGGGCGTGCTCTTCCAGATCACGCAGGACCCGTCGCGCTACGTGCAGCACTTCCTGTACGAGCTGCAGGACGGTATCACTCGCGAGCAGCTCACAGATGCCTGGACGCAAGCTGTGGCACGGCACGAAATCCTTCGCACCGGCTTCCTGCAGACCGACCGGGCACTCGCGCAGGTCGTTCTTCATTCAAATGCTGCAGAGCTGCCGCTCTTCGATGCAGATGCCGACGTTCAAGACAGCCAAGGCTTCTTGAAGTTCTTCGAAGGCAGAGCCGAAAGCGTCGCCAAGAGCATCAACGACGACATCAGCTCGCCGTGCTGGCAGTTGACGCTGTGTGGGACTGAGAGGAGCAAGCCTCGGTTCATGGCCGTCTCGCTGAATCACGCGGTGTACGACGCATTCGCCGTGCGCGCCCTCATGACCGATCTCGATCGGCTTCTAGGCTCGAGCGAAGAGCTGCCGAGCGCAGTGGCACTTACAGACATCCTCTCTTCGATCGCGGAGACGTCGGAGGCGGAGCACAAGAAGTACTGGCAGGATGCCCTTGCACCCGCAGTGGAGCGTCAGGAATCAGCGCCGTCGCGGCGGCCAAAGGCCGGAGCCAAGTCTGAGCGCTCAACGCACGGCCTTGCTGCCTCTCTGAGCGACGTGCAGAGCCGATGCAGCGAGCTCGGCATCACGCTTCAGTCCTTCTTCTACGCCGCCTTTGCGCTTGCTGGACGCTCGGCCTTCGGATGGTCACAAGATGCAGTGTTCGGAGTGAGTGCCACCTCGCTCTTCCGCCTACAGACCCGTGCTCAACCTTCCGCAGACGGTGCGCAGCGGACGCAACCTCGCCGTCGACGGCATCGAGAACGCTGTCTGCCCGCTTGTCACTCTCGTGCCGATGCACGTCGACCTGGCACAGGGCGATGCAGACAGCTTCCTGTCAGGTGCCCACGACAGCCTCGTCGCCTCGCTGCCACACGAGCATTCTTCTCTCGGCCAGGTACAGGGCTGGCTGGGCGTCAAGAGCCTGTTCGACGTGCTGTTCTCCTGCAGACACGAGCAAGACGCGTCGGGCTACAGCTCATTCAAGCATCTGGAGGGCTCTCCGCCTGCGCCGGAGGTGTGTTGTGCCATACCTCAGAGCGCTTCAGCTGCTGACTCGACTGCTCGCAGTTCATTCTCGCAATCGAGATGCTCTTCGTCGAGAAGTCGGACTCAATTGAGGCTCGAGCTGCCCGGACTTCCGAGCTGGACTCGGCGGTGTCAACGGAGCTGCTCAACTCGCTGGACAGCGTCGTGACTGCACTGCTCGCGGGCGATGATGGGCAGCTGAAGCTCCGAGGCCGACCCGAGAACAGCGCCAACAGCAGGCCGAAGCTGCGCCGTCGCGGCAAGGCGCGTGACGAGGGCCCGGAGCCTTCCGCTGAGACACTCAAGTCTGTCACCAGCATCGTCGCCGATTTCCTCCAGCAACCGGCCAGCAGCGTTACGGCTGGAGCTTCGCTCGTGTCGCTGGGCCTCACATCCCTGCGTGCTGTCGCTCTCTCGCGGGCTCTACAGAAGAAGGGCCTGTCGGTGGACCCAGTCGACATCATTCAGGGCGACAGCACGCGTGCAGTCGCCCAGAAGATCGACGCTCAAGGACAGAGCAGCAACGGCGACTCATCCGACGCTTCAGCTGACGACGGCGAGACAAAGCTCGCCGAGGAGCTCGGAGGTCTGCCCAAGCTGGCACTTGACGATGCAGACAAGCCCGAGCTCGCACTGTGCACGCCGCTGCAAGCCGGCATGCTGTCACAGACGCTTGCCTCGGAGGGCACGCTCTACGTGCACGCCTTCCCGCTGCGTCTTCGGCGCGCTGCGGATGCTGAACAGCTGCGCAGCGCGTGGGACCAGGCGCTGGGCGCATTCGACATCTTGCGGACGTCGTTTCACTTCGCCGAATCGTCAGGTCGATGGGCACAGGTCGTCCACAGCGCATTTGCACTGCCCTGGAAAACTATCCAGACTGAGGATGCGCCTGCCGATCTCGCCAAGCAAGCGGTCAGCAGCCTATCGCTAGGCAGCGAGGGCGGCTTGAGCAAGCCCCCGTGGTGCTTGCTCGAGGCGCACGGCCAGGATGCGACTCATCTCGTGGTGGCGATGCACCACGCCATGTATGACGGAGTGTCGTTCGCGAACCTCCTTGGACACGTCGCTCGCATCTTCGCCGGCGACGAGGCTCCGAAGCTGCCGGCCTTCATCCCGCTGGCACGCCGCATCGTGCGTGAGGAGAAGCGAGCCACCGAGCACTGGACCGAGCGGATGCGCGGCTCTAGCACGCGCTTCCTCCCCGAGCGTGACGCCAGCCGATCTGACTCGACGGCTGCCTGGCGCGCCTCCATTGACTTCTCTGCCGACGAGGGCGAGCAGCTGCGGCGCGTGGCCAGACGCTACCAGGTCACGCCGCAAAGCATCGGCCAGCTCGCTCTCGCGCAGCTGCTCGCACGATACTCTGGTCTCGTAGACATCAGCTTCTGCCAGGTTGTCTCGGGCCGGACGCTGCCAGACGCTGGCGAGGTGGTCGGCCCTGTTTTCAACACGATCCCCTGCCGTGTGCAGCTCGACAGCCACCTCAAGGCTCGCGAGGCACTGCGCCGCATCCATGCCGACAATGTCGCGGGTCTCAAGGCGCAGCATGCCTCTCTGCGCGACATCCAGAAGGCTCTGCAGCTGCCAGCCATCTCCGACGTGCTCTTCGTGTTCCAACCGTTTGTTGAGCGCGATGGCAGCGAGACGGAGCGCCCGTGGAGCGCCGTGCCACGCTCGTCTGACACAGACGAAGGCGCGACGCAGTTCAGCCTGAATCTGGAGCTGCACGAGCAGCGCGATGGCTTCGCCGTGTTCTCCAGCTGTGCGGCGGACGTCTTCTCTCGCGAGCAGCTGGATGAGGCGCTGCAGCTTTACCGACAGGCCGTCGTCGACATCATCTCGCAGCCGAACGGCACCGTCGTCACACCGGAGGCTGAGGCCAAGGCCGCCAAGCTCAAGCCTGCTGAGACGAACGAGCAGAGCTCCGAGTCTGGCGACGAGCCCGCGGCAGAGCTCAGCGGGCAGCAGCAGGAGGTCCGCAAGCTCGCCGCACAGATCCTGCGGGTCGACGTCGACAAGCTCTTGCCTTCGACGAAGCTTGCGTCCGTCGGCCTAGACTCAATCTCCGCCATCCAGCTCTCGTCGCGCTGTCGTAAGGCAGGCATCAAGCTGGCGCCCACGGACATCGTTCGAGCTCCCACGATCAAGGAGCTTCTGCGGCTCGTGTCTGGCTCGCCAAATGGGCACGCGGAATCGAAGAAGCCGACTTCCACCGGTATTGTCACGCTATCCGGATCTCAGGCCGAAGTTGCGACTTCGCACATCAGCGAGGTTCTCCGCCGAGGCAGCAAGGTGCTCGTGTCCAGCGCAGGCGTCGAGTATGCCTTCGCGTGCTGGCAGCGCTCGAACGGCCGCGCCTTCCAGGTCTGCGTGCTGCGGCGCGCCAACGAACGCATCGATGTGAAGCAGCTGGAGCAGGCTTGGAGCTCGTTGCTCGAGAAGCACGAGGTGCTGCGCGGTATCCCGGTGCCTACCAACGATGCTTCGCAGCCACTCGCTCTTCTGATCGCCAAAGACGGGCCGACACTCCAGGTTCAGGAGCTCGAGGGCGCAGATGAGGACGAAGCAGCGACACAGCAGGCTCGCTCGCTGCTCTGCGAGCACATGCCGGCGAATGCAGCGCAGTGTCGCCTGCTTCTGCTGCATGGCAAGAAGCACGACTATGTCGTCCTCAACATGGCACACGTTCTCTATGGTCAGTCGTCTGTGGCATGTGCTGCTCACCAGCTGACGCTCTCTTCACTCCCGCAGACGGGTGGTCGCTGCCGCTGCTCCTCGGCGATCTGGAGGCCATGTACCAGGGCAAGGAAGCCAGCGCATCCGCAGACTTTGAGGGCTTCCTCAGCTCGTCCGGCGCAGACGAGGGCGCGCAGGAGAAGTACTGGCGCGAGGCACTGGGGGAGAAGTTCAGCCCGGCACTCTGGCCGACACAGGCTGCCAAGTCCGAAGGTCCGGCCGTGACGCTCTTCGACATCGAGGTGCGGAGCGAGCTGACGGCCGATGATGTACGCTCCTGTGCCCGCGACATTGGCGTCTCGTCGTCGTCGCTGGTGCTCGGAGCGTGGGCCTTGGTGCAAGCCAAGCGCTGCGATTCCGCGGCGACATTCGGCATCATCCAGACAGGCCGCGGCTCGGAGGAGCTGGCCAACCTGGCGGCACCGTGTCTCAACGTCGCGCCGCTGCACGTCCGCCTGCAGGGCAGCCAGGACGAACAGGCGGAGCTCGCGCGCGTCGCCGGCAAGTTGCAGTCGGAGCTGCTGGGACGTCCGCGCGAGGTCGAGCAGAGCCGCATCAGCCGCATCGCAGAGTGGACGGGCCGCAAGGGACAGCCGCTCGTTAACGTCACGATCAACCTGCTCTTTGCGACGCAGGGCCGCAACGACGACGAGGCGCCCGAGCCGAAGAAGGATGCGCTCTGGCAGCGCATGCCCGTCAAGCACCGCCTGTCGCAGGAGGAGCAGAGTGCGCCCGTGACAGCGGCGGATGTCCACCTCGGCGAGCCTCCGGCGCTAATGTTCCCAGAGCTGCAGGTGAGTTTGCCGGCGCGGTGAGGTCCAGAGCACGAGCTGATACATTCGCCACAGGTGGATCTCGACGTGGTGGTCGCCACTTCCGCTGAGAGCGGCAAGCTGATCTTCGTCGCCGAGTGCGCGCGGGAGCTGGTCGACGAGGCCGACGCGCGAGCCGCGCTTGGCGAATGGGCCGAGCTCCTGGCCTCCGCCGTGCGTGCCAAGCGGTCGTGAGCAGGCAACAGATGGGAGCAGGTCACCAAGCACATAGATGAAGCGACGAGAAACGAACTGCAATGCCGTGGCTAATGACATGCCTTGAGAGTCACCCTGGCGCGTCGGGAGGTCACGGAGCGCAGCCGCGGGCGACCTCCGAAGATATCTGCAGCATCAGCTCCGGGAGCGGGTGTCTGCGGCAAACGCCTCCGAAGCTCCTCCTGCAGGGAAGGCGGGAGATCAGCTGCGACCCTGTCATCGGAGTGCAGGTACCGCTGATGCCTGCCGAGGCAGCGGTTCGTCCAGGAAGGGGTCCAAACCCTGATGCTGTCCGTGGAGACGGCCCGCGTGAGAGCAGCTTGCTGATCCTGCACTGATGATTGACTGGCAGCAGTTCGTCCGCAGATCCGCTCGTTCGGGCCGCATGTGTGGCGACGGAAGCAGCCGGGACTGGCGTGCGACCCTCTCCCAGGCAGCATGATGGCGGAGGGGCCTCGTCGGGCGCAGCCAACCAGAAAAAGCGGCAAGCGTCGCCGAGACGTACGCAGATGCGGCCAAGCTGTGCCTCGGCTGCACGCTACAGCGCCCTGTCACGGCCGATGGCGTGTTCCTGGAAATGGGCGTGTGGCCGCCATGGTCCCGACGGCGCAGCCAGCCAACTCTCACTGCCAGCACCTCCTGATGGACGGTGAGGGCGGCCGGAGGGCGGCGCAGCGCCGGCGGAGTCAGGATCATGATGCGTGCCCGGCGTTTTGGCGCGAGGCTTCCGCGGCGCACGGCAGCAAGAGCCGGCCGGCCAAGCACGACACTGGCGCCGTGCCTGCTGATTTATCAGATCCCGCTAGCGAGGTCGCCGCGCTAGCGCGTCTCGGCGCATCACCGCTGCGGCCACGCAAGCAAGAGCTTCGCACGCCTCTCGCTGCCGCTGCGACGACGCTCTCTGGCCGGCGCATGCCTCCTGCGTGTGCCCGAGGGCTCACTGCCGCCCGCCCGGCGGCTCTGCCGATCAGCGCCGCGCGGCGTGGAAGCGCATCCAGCGGCAGGCTCCCGGCGGCGCTGCTGGCCGTGCTGCGGCGGCCAGCCGACGCACGCTCGGCGCACCATCTGCTGCCGGCTGCAAGGGCGGCAGCCGGCAGCGCAGCCAAGCCGCACTTGGTGCTGCACCCTATCGTGTGCCTGGGAGATGATCAGGAGATGCACGCGCGTGCTGCCGTGGGCCCGCTGTCGAGTGGCGCGAATGCTGGTGCTCTCAGCGGGCGAGAGTGGCGTGCCTGGCGGAGGAGGGGCAGCATCGATGAGCGCGGCGCAGATTTTGCGCGCGCGGCGGCTGATGCGCTTTAGCGCGGCGGCTCGCGCTCCTCGGTGACGCGCTTGCTGCCGCTCTCTCTGCGCTCCTCGCTCCTCTGCTCCGCCTCGCCTGTCACCCGGCGGCCAAAGCTCGCAGGCGTCGTCCTGCTACTTAAGCCATGCCCGCCGCCGGACCGAGCCGCCTCTCGCCCCACCGCCATACCCCTGAACCCGCTCCCTCGCCGCCCACCTTCCTCCGCAGCATGGCGTCGCAAGTCGAAGCCAAGGGCACGCACAGCCCGCGCGCCAGCCTCGAGGCCGATGGCCCGCGCCCGCTGAGCCGCTCGGGCGCCGCGTCGCCCGCGTCGCCGTCGCACGACGACGCCGACTCGCTGGGGCGCAAGGACGTGTCCGACAGCGAGGGCCACGCCGGCGCGCCGCGCGGCGAGAGCAACGCCGAGTACCGCGCGCACCTCGCCTCGCAGCCGGCCGGCGTGAGCAAGATCGAGGCGCTGTACCGCGTCTTTGGCAACAACCGCGTCGCCGTGTGGACGCTGTATGCGGCCATCTCGGGTGAGTGGCCGTGGCCGCAGGTGTCCGGCGCATGCGCTCACGTCCTGCCGCAGCCATCGTCATCGTGTTCTGCTTCGACGGCTCGACGACGAGCAGCTACCAGACCGTCGCGGCTAGCGAGTACGCCAAGCACGCCGAGCTCCTCGGTGTCATCGACACGGCCGAGGCCATCATTATCGCCGTGTCGAAGCCGTTCATCTCCAAGGTCGCCGACATCTCGTCGCGCCAGATGGCCTACCTCGGCATCCTTGTCCTGTGCGTCGGCCCTGCTGCCGTGCCTGCGCTCCCTGCTCACCTCTCCGCGCAGCTACGTCTTTGGCTACCTGCTCGTCGCAGCCACCACCACCGCTGGCGGCTTTGCGGCCGGCCGCATCATCAGCGCCACGGGCCAGGCCGGCCTCGACCTCGTCACCGACATCATCGTCGCCGACATCAGCCCGCTGCAGTGGCGCGGCTTCATGACGGCGCTCACCTCGTCGCCCTACCTCTTCCTTGCCTGGGTCGGCCCGCAGGTCTCGGGCCCGCTCGTCGACCGCCGCGAGTGGCGCTGGGGCTTCGGCATGTTCTGCATCCTCGCGCCCGTGTGCGTCATGCCGGCGATCATTGTCATGTGGCGCGCCGAGAAGGTGGCCAAGGCCAACGGCGAGCTCGCCTTCACCGCCAGCCCGTACGAGCGGCGCCTCGTCGCCGAGCAGGGCACAACGGAGAACAAGGAGAGCTACTTCACGCTCGTCAAGAAGTTCTGCATCGAGCTCGACATCATCGGCCTCATCCTGCTCGCCGCCGCGTGGTGCCTGATCTTCCTGCCCTTCTCGCTGCGCGGCGACCGCCCGCGCGGCTGGCGCGACCCGGGCCTCATCGCCATGATCGCCGTCGGCGGCGCGCTGCTCATCCTCTTCTTCATCTATGAGTGGCTGTGGGCGGCCAAGCCGATCATGACGCGACGCATCTTCAAGAACCGCACGTTCCAGCTCGCCGTGACGCTCGACATCTTCTACTTCATGTCCGGCAGCCTGCGCAGCCTCTACTACTCGTCGTACGTGTACGTCATCAAGGACTGGACGTCGGTCGAGTGGGGCTACTTCAACAACATCAGCACGTTCTGCCTCACGCTCTTCGGCATCAGCGCTGGCCTCGTTCTGCGGTACACGCACCGATACAAGATGCTGCAGATCGGCGGCAACTGCATCCGCCTCATCGCCATGGGCCTCACCTTCTGGGCGCGCGGACCCAACGCCTCGACGGGCGCACTCGTCTCGGCGCAGGTGCTCAACTCGCTCGGCGGCGCCTGCTCCGTCGTGGGCACGCGCGTGGCGTCGCAGGCGTCGGTGCCGCACGAGGACCTGGCGCAGGTCATTGCGCTGCTCTCGCTCTGGACGCGCCTCGGCGGCAGCGTCGGCAGCGCCATCAGCGCCGCCATCTGGCAGGGCACGATCCGCGGCTACATGCGCGAGGAGGGCGTGCCCGAGGCGCGCATCCAGCCCATCTACGGCCGCTTCATCAGCGCGCGCTCGCTGCCCATCGACGACCCTATCCGCCAGGCGGTGTCGCGCGCCGCGGACCGCGCCATGTACCCCATCACGCTGGCGGCGCTGTGCATCTCGGTGCTGCCGCTGCTGGCGAGCCTGTTCATGAAGAACTACTACCTCGGCGCGCGCCACAACGCCGTCGAGGACCGCGGCGTCGACGGCCGCATGGTCGAGGGCGAGGGCGACCTCAGCGACCCGACGGCCGACCCGCACGCCCCGCGCACGGCCGCGCCCGTCGCACCGCAGGGCTTCTGGGGCAAGCTGAAGTACTACATTCTCTAGTTCCCCTGCCCCACCTTGTCCCCGTCTCCTCACGTCACCGGCCGGCTCTGCCATCGCTTTGCCATAGAAACACCCAAAAGCTCGCAATCTAAGATACAGCTGCATCAGCAGGACCTGACTCGGGGCATGATGAGTGAGATTGCAGAGCACTTGAGGGATGTGCGCGCATCGGCCACCCTTCAGCCCGCAGCGGCGGCTGCACAGGGGGCAGAGCGACATGGCACGCGCGCACGCCGCGGCGCGCGCATGCAGCTGCGGGAGAGTCTACGCGCAGGCATGCTCCTGACCACCACCACCGCAACGCACGCACGCCGCCGCCGCCATGGCCGACGAGGAGGGCGACTTTGAGGCGCGCCGGCTGGCCAACATTGCCGCGAACATGGCGCTGCTCGAGTCGCTCGGCCTCTCCGTGTCGCCCGTCAAGCGCGAGCCGCAGACAAGACGCACGCCGTCGGCGTCGGCTTCACCGCGCAAGCGCAAGCTGTCGCAGGCAGAGGCTCCTTCACCGCGCACGCCGTCTGCACGAGCGCGGCGCGCCTCAGCGAGAGCTGCATCAGACAGTCCGGCAGTTGCAGCAGCAGCAGGCAGCTCCGGCCTGCGTCGCTCGCTGCGTGAGCGCCGCACGCCAAACCGGGACGAGCTTGCCAGCGCCGCTCTGACGCCCAAGCGCCGGCGCGTCAAGGCCGAGGCGGGCGACGAGCTTGACGACGACGATTCCATCGAGGACGAGACGCTTGACGGCCGTCAGCGCAAGGCACAGCGCCTCGGGCAGCGCATCCACGACCCAAAGACGTTCGGCGCCATCCCCGGCATCCCCGTGGGCAAGATCTGGACGTCGCGCATGGTGCGTGCGGCGCTGCTGCCTCTCTTGCGCTGGCTGATCTGTGCTGCAGGACTGCTCCACCGACGCCGTGCATGCGCCGCCTGTGGCAGGCATCGCAGGCAGTGCCGAGGCCGGCTGCTTCAGCATTGTGCTCAGCGGCGGGCAGGCAGGCTCGTACGCCGACGACGCGGATCTGGGCGAGAGCTTCACGTACACGGGCAGCGGCGGCTGTCTGCTGCGCGGCACGTCTGCCCAGCCCAAGAACCTGCGCACTGCGCCGCAGACGTATGTGAGTTGCCTACCCTCCGCCTCCCACTGGCTTGCTCACGCTCCGCAGGACCAGACGTTCAACGACGTGCCCAACGCGGCGCTCAAGCGCTCCGCCGAGACCAAGAAGCCCGTGCGCGTCGTGCGGGGCTACAAGAACTCGACGAAGTGGGCGCCCGTCGAGGGCTATGTCTACAGCGGCCTGTACCGCGTCGAGCGTGCGTGGATGGCGCAGGGCCTCTCGGGCTTCAAGATCTGCCGCTACGCCCTCAAGCGCATCCGCGGACAGGCGCCGCTGCCCGTCTTCGACGACAAGGAGGCCCTGCTCGCTCTATGACGCGAGCAGCTCCGCTCTTCCTACACCTGCGACACACCAGCGCAGCATGACTTGAAACGAATGATATCAGCCGGGCCGGTGTCGCATCAGCGGCGAGTGCGCTTGCTGCCGCCTGCAGATGCGCTCGGCGCCTTCTTGCGCTTGAAGCCGCTGAACACCTCGCCGTCCTCGTCGTCGTCGATGATGAGCTGGTCCACCTGCGAGTCCGAGCGGCCGGGCGCCGCGGCCGGCGACTCGCGTGTGCGCTGGCGGCTGCTGCTCGGAACGGCGGTGCCCTTGCGCTGGCGCGTCGCCGTGCGCGGCGGGCCCATGTCGGCGCTGAGGTCCATCGGGGCGTAGTCGACGTCGAGGCGCAGGTCGGGCTCGGGGCTGCGCTGCTCGTCCGCCTCCGGCTCGCTCTCCTCCTCGTCACGCACTACAGCGCGGCTCCTGCCGCCGCTGTCGCGTCCCGTCGCTCTGCGACCGACGCGCCTGCCGCCCAGCGGCGCCTCGTCGCCCTCGCCGGCGCCGTCGCTCTCGCTGTCCGAGACGCTGGCGAAGATGCTCTTCTTCTTCTTGCCGCGGGCGGGCGCCGCCGGCGCGTGCAGGCCGGCCAGCACGTCGCCGTCGTCTTGGTCGAGCTCGTCGATCTGAGAAGGTCGAACGCTCGCAGACGGCACGGAGGGCCCGGCGCGACGCGCTGCCAAGGCGGTCAGCGCAGCTGCTGAGCAGGACACGGCACCCGACTCACTTCCAGACACATAGTCATTCTCGTCTGGCAGGCTCAGCGCGATCGGAGTGCGCTTGGTGCGGTTCGTCTGTGCGCGATGTGAGTACGCTGAGATGCGGGATGCGGCTCGAGCACCACGCACCGACTTGAACTTCTTGAAGTTTGGCACGCTCGCATCACGCACGACGACGGCTGCCGCCGGCCGCTGACGCACGAGCGGCACAAAGTCGACCTCGACGAAGTTGCCCGCGGCCGAGATGCGGAAGAGCTCCTCGAGCTGCTCGGGCGGCGCGGCCTTGAACGCCTCGTACGCCAGGTCGTCCACATCAGCCGGGTTGACGATCAGCGGATCGGCGAGGCAGCCGCCGGCGTTCGGCGGACGCGCGATGCGCAGGCGGTTGAACTCCTCGTCGAAGCGGTCGAGCTTGGCACGGCCCTTGCTGCGGCTCTTGAGCGCCATCAGGAAGCCCTCATCGCGCTGTGCCTTCTCGCCTGGGGCGATGCCCGCCTGGCCAGGCCGCTCGCGGCGCACGCCGTTGCGCTCAGGCTCCTCGTCGGCGCCAGTGCCCACGCGGGCACGTTCGGCCTCGCCCTCGACGCGCTTGGCGCGCGGACGTTGAGGCGACTCATCGCTCGGACTTGCAGGCGCAGGCCGCTTGCTGCGCTTCTCCTTCTCGAACGGCGCCGGTGCGTCATCCATCGCTACGTCCGCACGACCTGCGTCCGCCCCTTGCGTGGCTGTTGGCGGAGGCGCAGGCTCAACGTAGGGGACACCTGAGGCCTCCGCCCGCGCGCGTGCGTCTTCTTGATCGAGCTGCGCACGGAAGCGCTTGCTCTTGAGCTGCCCCGTGGAGTCGAGCGAGGCGCCCAGCGATGCCGACGCCGAGAAGCCGGCGTTTGCCGCACCGCTTCCACTGCTCTCTGCGAGCATGTCCTCTGCGCTGGGCCCTCCGCCAAAGGCGGCGTTCCACGCGTCTGAGGGTCGAGCACCGGCGCGGCGCTTGAGGCGTGGAGCAGAGCGAGGCGCGCTCTGCTCCGACGACAGCAGTGACTGCACTGGCGCTGGTCGTGACGACGGGTCGTCATCCATCGCAAAGAGCGCATCCAGCGGATTGGCCACGCTCCCAGTGTCGGCGCGACGCTTCAGCTGCTGCAGACAGATGGGGAGCGTTCAGCCGCGTGCCGTGCAACAGACTTCTTCGCTACTCACCCTCTTCACTGGAGCCGCGGGCGCAGACATCGGCGCATCAGCGGCGCCTGCACTTGGCGCGGGCAGCGGCGGCGTGGGAGGAGCCATCGACTCAGGGGCCTGCGTCACAGGCTCCTGGGTCGTCTGCGAGCCGCCCGAGCGCAGAGACTCGGCAGGCGGCTGCGTTGTGTAGTCTTGCGTTGGCTGGTCCCGCAGGCTCGGCGCGCTCTCGGACGATGGCGCTGAGCCGAGGAACGTGCGGACGTCGACATGGAGAATCGCCTGCGAGATATTCGTGGCGCCAGGGTCGGGCATGCTGATGCCGAGCCTGTGAAGATGCTCAGCGCAAGCACGTTCACATCCCGACAGGCTACTCACTCCGAGGCGATGCGCGCCAGGCGCCTGTACCACTCTTCCTCTCCGCAGCGGATGGCAGCCTCGACGAGAATGACGAGGCCGCCCTCAGGTGCGCGCTTGGAAACCTCAGCAGCATCAGGCAGCGCAGCCAGGCGAGCCGCAGCCTTCGTCTTGTGCTGCTGCAGGATGCGGCGCAGGTTGCTGTCGCTCTCGAGGTAGCTGCTGCTCGACTCAATCGACTCGTTCTTCGCACCAGCTAGCTCAGCCAGCATCATCTGTGCGCTCGCCTCTTCCTGCGAGTGCAAGCTTGTCAGCAGAACCGCACCAGGCTGCGCCGGAAGGCAACGCACCGTGCCAGTGCGGATAAAGAGCGCTGTGGTGCCGACGAGAAGAGTGCGGCGGCGCACGTCGACGCTGAGCATATCGAGAAAGGCGTGGGTGTCAAACTCGCCCTCTGCGGCCTGCTCGATGTTCAGCGGCTCGGGCTTGTACATGTCGGGGTCGGGCATATCGAAGCTCGTCTCGAGCGAGCTCTCGGCGCCATCGGCGAGGGCCCCGAGGCGCAGCACCTCGTCGAGGTACGCCATCGAGACGATGGGCACGCCATTCGTGAGCGCCAGCATGAGGCGCGTCGTGAGGCTCGCCTTGTTCGTCACGTAGTAGTCGGCCGCGGCAAACGTCTTGCTGACGACGATGTGAGCGCCTGCGCGATGTCAGCGGGTGAATGGCTAGGCGTAGCTGCAACCACGCACCCATGACTGCGGCAGCGGCAACGCGCGGCTCCATCTCCTTTGCCGTCTCGCGGTGCACGCAGAAGGTGAAGTTCTGCCACACCAGGCTGCGCAACGAGGTCAGTCTTGGGCGTGGCTGCGAGCACTGGCGCAGCTCACCGCGGCGTCGGCACGCTCTTGGCGACGACGACGAGCGACTGGTCGTCGACGCGGCGCTCCGTGTCCGGCTCGACGACGGCGCCGACGAAGCCGGCGAGGTTGGCGCGGTACGCCGGCTCGTCGGCGGGCAGGATGACGCGCATGCCCTTGCGCCCCGCGTGCAGCGTCACGGCCGGGCGTGCGGCGGCGTCGGCGACGCAATCGGCGCTGAAGGCGGCGACGCTGATGCGCCCGGCATCCTGCGAGACCTGCTTGCTGGCGATGATGATGTCGGCCGGCGGCTTGCGTCCGAAGGCGTACGACTTGCTGGGGCGCAGCAGGCGGCGCGTTGGCGGTGCTGCGGGCAAGAGGCTCAGCACGGCAGCGCGACTGGGCGCGGCGCCGCTCACCCTCGGTGTTGGCAAAGTCGCACTCGAGCAGCCAGACCATGGCGGCGGCGGTGCGCCGGCCGGAGCGGCGGGCGAGCTGGGTGGGTGGGCTGCGCTGCTGCTGCAGAGGCTTGCGGTGCTCGTGGTGGGGAGGCAAGCGGCCCTCGCCGGCGCGGCAAGCAACACTTTACGCGGTGTCGCGTCGTGCGCCGCCGCGTGGAGGTCGGACAGCGTGGGAACGGAAGATGCCGCCGTGCCTCGCTCTGCTCTGCCTGCCGCACTTCACCTCTGCACCTCTCACCACCACACCGCACACCATGGCTTCCGCACCCAAGCTCACGCCCGCCGAGTACGATGCGCTCTCGCCCGCCGAGCGCAGCACCCACGACGCCGCCGCCGCGGCGCAGCAGGCCGCCGAGCAGGGCGCGCTGCCGTACGCCTGGACGCAGGCGCTGGACCACGTCGCCCTCTCGCTGCCCGTGCCCGCCGGCACGCGGGCGCGCGACCTCGCCGTGCGCCTGCAGCGGCGCAAGATCAGCATCGGGCTGAGGGGCGCGCCGCCGCTCATCGAGGGCGAGCTGTTCAAGGAGATCCGCGAGGACGAGAGCACGTGGTCCGTCGGTGCGTCGCCGCAGGCGCAGGCACACCTGCAGCGCGCGGCTAACGTAGCTCCGCCGCAGAGGACAACAAGCTCGTCGAGGTGCACCTCGAAAAGTCGGCGCAGGACCAGTGGTGGCCGCACGTCGTCACCTCGGCGCCCAAGATCGACACGACCAAGCTCGTGCCCGAGAACTCGAAGCTCAGCGACCTCGACGGCGAGACGCGGTGCGTGGCGTGTGTGCGGCGCGTGTCGCTCTGCTGACGCCGCTCTCCTCCCAGGGCGATGGTGGAGAAGATGATGGTGAGTCCGCACGCGCGACGCAGTGCCGCACCTGTCCTGACTCTCTGTCTGCGCAGTTCGACAACCGCCAGAAGGCCATGGGCAAGCCCACGTCCGACCAGATGAAGCAGAACGAGGTGAGCGGCGGCGGCATGCGCCCGGCCTGGCCAGAAGCTCACTCCTTATCCAGGCGCTGGAGAAGTTCAAGCAGCAGCACCCCGAGATGGACCTCAGCAACGCCTCGGTCAACTTTGGCTAGGCGCAATGCAAGTCATCAAAAGCATGGAATGCGCGGGGGATATTAGGTGGTGGGGTCCGAAGAAGGAGGCAGAGTATGAGACAAAGCAGGATGGGACAGGAAGGGGGACGGGCGAGCCCGGTGAGAGGCGGCAGGACGCTCACTGCTCCCACAGACTCCTCAGCGAGTTCATCTTCGTCTTGCCGATGGCGCGCGTCGTGCCGCGTGCGTCCATGGCGTTGCCCTCGGCGGTAGGCAGGCCGAGCGGCAGCTGCTGCACGGCCGCCTGCACCTCGCTCTGCGCCTGCACCACCTTGGCCTCGCGCGCCACGCGGTCCGAGATCTCGCGGCGCGACGGGCGGAGCGCCGCCGCCGACTGCGGGTGCACGGCGGGCGCGCTGGCGATGCGCCGTGCCGCCGCGGCGGGAGATGCGAGGGCAGCATTGGCAGCGGCAGGCACGGGCGAGAGCGGCGACGTCGGCGACGCAGCGGCCCCCGCCGCTGAGCTGGCAAAGACGGGGCGCGGCATCGTCGTGTTGAGGAAGTGCGGCGCCGAGGTGGCCTTGAGCGCGGGCGTCGGGCGCAGCGCCTTGGGCGCGGCGATGGCCGTCGGCGGCTGAGCGGCTGCAGCCGGCGCAGAGCCCTTTGCAGATGCGGCTGCGGTCTTGCTGCTGAAGTCGAGGGCCGGCGCACCGGCACGCGGCGTGCGCGCCTTGGGCTTGGCCGAGAGCGTCGGCGGCATGGGCAGCAGTGCGCCGTCGCTGCCCTCGGCAATCGACGCCCACATGCTCGCCACGCTCGAGACGCGGCCGCCGCGCACTGGCGGCGCCTCGCGCTTCTCGACGGCGCCCTCGCCGGCGGCATGTGCGGCATCGGCGGCGAGCAGCTCCTTGCGCACACTCAGCGGCACGCTGATCTGCACGACGCTGGCGCTCTCGCTTGCCGGCGCAGCAGCGGGCGGAGGCACGGGCATCGAGACGCGGCGCGAAGCTGGCGACGTAGCCGTAGGAGCCGGCGTCTCGTCGCACTTCGGAGGGCCGCTCGAGAAGCGGCGGCTGGCAGCGTGCGCCAGGATGGCTGTGCCTGGCTTGGGCGCCGCGCGCACCTCTGCGCCGTCGACGAGAGCGCGCAGGTCCGCAGAGAGCGCAGACGACATTCCACCCGCGGCGACTTTACTGGTCGCAGGCAGGCCTTCGCGCGCAGCATCGCGCGACGCAGGCATGGCGCTGGGCGTCGAATCGAAGAGGTACGATTGTGGCGGCGTCTTCGGCTTCTCGAGCGTGTGGTGCAGCAGCTCCGAGGGCGCGGGCTTGGCTGCCGCATCGTCGCCACTGCGCGTCGAGGCCGTGGGCGTGCCCGAGAGCCAGCCGTCGACGCGCGAGACGGCCTGGCGGTGCAGGCTGCGCACCTCGCCAGGGTTGATTGCCTTGCGCTCGCCATTCGCTTCCTTGGCGTTTGAGGCGCTGCGTTCGAGACTGACGTTGGAGCCCGAGCGCGCGGCGGGCAGAGCCTTGGCCGAGTCCTCGGGAGCCTGCTGCTTCGCGGCCGTCTCGAGAGCCGAGCGCTGCTCCTCGCGCTGCTTTTCTGTCGCGGCCGCCTTCTCTTCCTGCTCCTGCAAATGCCGGCTGAGTCTTGCCGCTTCGGCTTTGCTCTTGCGGGCCTGCTCTTCTTGCGCCTTTCGCGCCGCCGCTTCCCTCTGGCTCTTGGCAGCCTCAGCCTCTCGCCGCTTCGCATCTTCTGCCTCGCGCGCCGTGCGCTCGCGCTCCGCAGCTGCGGCAGTCGCTGCTGCGGCACGCAAGGCGCCGCTGCTGCGTCGCTCTGATGCTGCTCGCGGCGACGGCGCCAGGCGCGGGCTCACGGGCATCTGCGGCGCATCGGGCGCCGGAGAGCGCAGACGCGTCTCGAGGGCTGCGAGGCCGGCGCGCGCAGGAGAGGCAGCAGATGTCGCAGCTTTGCTCTCGCTTGGAGGTGCTGCGTTGCGCAGCGTCGTCGGCAAGTCTGGCCCGGGCTGCGGGGCACTCGCCGCAGGTGCGGGCTTGGCGAAGAGGTCGCTGGCGCGCGGCCGTGCCGTCGAGCGGCTCTCTTTGCTACTGGGCACGGGCGGCCCGGGCAGCGTCTTGGCGACGATTGCCTCGTGACTGATCGAGGCGACCTGTGCCGGTCTCGGCGAGCAAGGCTCCTCCTCGGGCACCATGCCCATGCTGCGCATCTCCTCGCGCGCCTCGTGCTCGTCGGCCATCTCCTCGAACTTGGCCACGTCGCGCCGGCTCACGCTGCCGGCGGCGCCGAGCGCACGCAGCGAGCGCACCGTGCCGGCCGCAGACTCGCTGTCCTCCTCGATGGTGGCGAGGCCAGCCAGTTCCTCGACGGGCGCCTCGGGCGCAAGCGGCGACGAGGGCACAAGTGGCGAGGGCTTGGCGGCCTGCGGCGTATGCAGAAGCAGCTGCGCTGGCTCCGACGCGCCATGCGAGCCGAGATTGCCCGGCGCGCTGACGTTGCGCGACTGCACCTGCTGCTGCATGAGGTGCGTGCTGCCAGCCGTGCCGGTGCGCAGGTGCTGCGGCGCCAGAGTCGGCGCAGCACTGACGCTGCGCTGCGGCGGCGCAAAGGCAGCCGTCGGTGGCACGGCGAAGAACTGCTGCTGCTGTGCCAGATTCGGTGCTGCACTGGCAGAGCGCGGCATCTGCGGCACAACGAAGGCACTTGCGCCCCAGCCATGTGCCTGCGGGTCCCACTGCAGCTGATGAGCGCTGGGATCGACGGCAAAGGGCAGCGGCGAGGCCGGGAGCTGCACAAAGCCGCCTGCCGACGCCGGCCGCGATGGCGGAGCGCCACCCCAGGGTGCCGGAGACCAGCCTCGCTCGGCGCCGTACGCTTCGAGCGCCGCGAGCGAGGGCGAGGGCGGGGCAGCGGCGTGCTGGTGGTGCGGGCGTGCGCGGTGTGGCAGCGCCGCGTGAGCGCCATGGTGGGCGCCGTGGTGTCCGGCCGACGAGTGCGAGCGTGGCGGCGGCGCGTGCCCGTGCGGGTGCGGGTGCAGCGCATCCAGCGTCGGCTCGGGCGCGCGGCGCAGGCTGGCGGCATGCGCGACGAAGAAGGGAATCTCGACCTGCAGCGGCTTGGCGAAGCTGCCGAGCTGCGCCTCGACGATGGCGATGGGCTGCACCTCGAAGAGGCGCGTCTTGCGCACGCTGCGCAGCTCGCGCGGCAGGTCGACGAGCACGTTTGTCACGAGCTCCTCGCCCGGCCCGAACTGGTAGCCGGCGCCGTTGAAGGACTGCTCATGCAGGATCTCGGTGATGTGCGGCGCCGGCGCGTCCATGCGTGCAGGCGCGCCGGGCGGGCCGGAGACGATGAGGCGCCGCGCGATGTACACCTTGAGGCCGGAAAGGTGCCGCTTGGTGTTGTTCTTGACGCCGCAGCGGAGCAGGATGTTGGAGCCGGCGACGAAGAGCTGCTCGGTGATGCCGGCCTCGAGCCTGCAGACAGTGTCAGGTGAGGGTGATGCGCTACGCTGCAGCAGACTCACCACACGGCGCCCGTGCCGCCCATGAAGAGGCGCGTGTCGGCGACGGCCTCGATGGGCTGGCGGTACGCCTCGTCGTGCTCGTCCTCCCAGCGCTCGACGACGTCGGCGTCGGTGCGCGCGCAGACGATGTGCTTGGCGTCGTTCCACCATGTCTGCACGCTCGCCTTGACGCTGTAGCGCAGCGCCGCGTTGCCGGCAAACGTCGCCGACGACGGCGCCGAGGCGGGCAGGCGGAAGGAGAAGGGAAACGACGTGCGCCCCTTGCGCGCCGTCCAGTAGCCGCCGGCGATGGGTGCCGCCGGCAGCACGGCGTTCGACGGCGGCAGGTGCGCGCCCTGGAAGAGCACGCGGCTGTAGAGAAAGGCCTGCGTGGCGCTGTGCTCGCGCGACGAGAGCTCTGCGGAGCGCAACAGTGTCAGGAGGAGTGCCAAGCGAGGTGCGCCAGCACGAGGCACTGTGCGCCCGACGCAGCAGAGGCGCTGTCGCCGAGCGGACGATGCAGCAGATGCGCAGTGCTCAGTGCATCATCGCCCTCTCAGCCAGCGCAGTGCTCGGTTCATCGTCGCCATCTCAGCCAGCGCAGTGCTCGGTTCATCGTCACCCTCAGCCAGCGCAGTGCTC